CCCAACAGCACCATTGGGTGTCAAGCCAGGGGTCCTTTGGACAAGAAAAAACACCTTTTCTTGTGAGGCGCCCTCTGGAGCAAATTCACAGCTGGACTGTCCTCAGATCCCCTGCGAAAAGCTTAACTTTTAGTGGGTGAAATGGAAACCTCCACACCTAAAAGTCTGTGGGGAAGGCTGGGAAACACCGAGAAAGGATATATTGATTTTGCTCTACAGTAGATCAAGCAAGATGCCCCCCCAACAGCCTTTTGATAGAATGGGATTGGCCAGCGGGCAGTGCACCGTTTTGGTAGCCTTCAACTCCAGCCCCAAGAACCTCCATCTGAAGGGCCCCAGAAAAAAAGCCCAACCCCGGCGAGCCTGGTTGCGCTCGTTGGTCAGGTTGGCGTTGTTCTCCTATACAAACACGTATTCGCCGAGCGTCCACGTGTCATGCATCTTGTTGACACCGTTTTCGGGCACCAGTCGATTCTCCCATAGCCCAAAAGTATGAAGCAATGCCCACAACAAACAAAAACCCCGACTACAATGGGAGCGCTTTCCTTTTGGTACGCTCTGAAAGGAATCCCATTTCGAGACAAGGCTTGAATCACACGATGCAAGTTTGGCGCTCTTCTTCTTGGTTGCTGCAACGACCCCCCTGCAAAAAGTGAGTGAATCACTTGTTGGGGCTTTAGTTTTGAAAACAACTTGCTTTCAACCAAAAAGTGATAAAAACAAAGTCTAAAGATCCGTTGCAACCAATAGCAGCCAAGTTTTGGAGGGAGACTCGTTTTTGTTGGATGTGTGGATCCGTTTTCTGGGGATATCGTTCTTTCGCTCGCTCCTTGAACTTCAGGAAGCTCTTGTACAAGTCCTGAAGCTGGGACTCCACCTGACGACCAATACCTCTGGCCTCGGTAGCCTTGATCGCGCTGCCAAATTCGCCTTGCAAGAACCAAACTGCTGTGTGTTTTTTTTTTAACGACGGTCTCCGAAGATTGGAAGATTCATTCTTGTGTTCCTGAAGGGCACATTGCATGCACTTTTCCTCTGCATCATAGCCATTCCGATTCAGGAGCGTCCAGAACAACATGACATTCTGGCCAAAAGCCGCATCCGCCATAGTGTCATTCAATAACAATTCTAGGGGTTGATTCCCCTATCTGTTCAACCATCCTTCTTTTCAAAAACCGCCAGTCACTTGAGCTGAACAAAGCCGGTTCGCAGAACTTCGTCCCGGAAGCTTTTGCTGCTCTCCAAACTGGATGTCTAAGAGTATGAGAAGCTCTGGAAAGCTAGATGTGGCATGTGTCAAAAATAGCCCAAAAACAACAAACAGCTTGGTTTCCCGTGGTTTCCTTTCAAACCAACGCCAAAAGGGGTAGCCTCACAGAACACAAAAGCACACCAAAACCGCGTGTCTCACAAGACACCGATTGTTCCGCGCTTCTCCCCGCAATCCTTGCTCGTTGCTCCGCCTGCTCCAGGGAGTAGGCGTCATCAAACTTCAGAAACTCCTCCACCTTGGCGAAAAAATGCGCTCAACTCGCTTCCGAACAAGTGGATTGGCAAAAACAAACAATTCCGAACCTTTTTCTTCACCACTAAGGTCCAAACCTAAAAAGTGACTAAAGTCCATGAATTCAACAAGTAAGTCAACCCAATTTGCCTGCGGCTCCTGGCAGAACGTGCCTAGCCAAACAATTGCCATGCTTTTGGGCCATGGTCATGTTGCATGGCTGCAAGCATGCGGACCCCACAGGAGGCGCAAGCACACAACAGGTGTGGGGCGCCTTTGCTAAACCACGAAAATGTGTGTGACTGCCTTGGAAAAAGTGAACGCAAAGTGGGCCCTGAGCATTCTCAAGAAACACCGAACCGATCCAGAATCTACAAAGCTGGATGGGATTCTCTCGTTAGCCGCTCAATCGCAACTGGTCCTCCATCCAAGATCTTCGGTGACTTAGGCACCCACAAAGGCAAACCTTGACTGAAGCCGAAAACCTTGCAGGCTGCAATAATCTAATTGACAAGTAACGCACAACTTGCGTAGGCTTGCATCTCCAAATTAAACCATGATTATACATAGGCATACATATGTATATATATACATACATACACATACAATACATTAAAGTTAGGGCAGGTCCACTTGGCAGGTCTGCGAGCCTTGTTCTTCACAATCTCGCAGCCCTCGATCTGCGTGATCTCTGCTTGGAGGAACCGCAGGATACGTTCCATCTCATCCTTAGGTCCCATTTGAGTCACTTGCGCAAAACCGGGTACACAAATGGTCGACCCAGAACCATGCTTCAAGAACTAAGAAGCCAGAATTCCGCAGCTATTTATGGCTGGGATCCCTAGCCTTCACTTACCCGGGTTTTGAGCACGTGGCTCATGTGGCAAAACCCGCCGACTTTGGGCAAAAGTGTGGGCTGCTCTTCCCCAGCAAAAGGTCGATCACCTGTGTTGGTTTCATGCAGCAACTTGTCCAAGCGATTTAGTTGTGCCAAAGTCCCCAAAATGCTTAGAGGGACCCGGGTTTCAGGTTTCCGGGCGCCAAGAATGCCGCCATTTCACATCTTGACAATGCGCCCCGGCCATACGAAGATGACACATGCTTCGATAGGTTTGGGGGTTGCTGACAAAGATAGGGTCTTGAGTGTGCCCACAAACAACATGGCCTGTGACCAAGCCGAGCTTCAATACGCTGGATGTGCTTGCGGTATGGCCGGCGCATGTCGCGCGCATTGTCATCCTCAAACCTTAGCGGGCCCAGGGAATTTCTGTGTCCAAAAAAGCGAAAACTGTAAAAGGGATGGTTGCTTCATCTCAAGCCTCAAGCGCATCTTCAGCGAACTAGCTTCAACCCCTCGTCCTCCAGTCCCCCTGCACTGCGATGGGATCATGAGATTTGCGCAATTGATGCAACAACTGCCTTCGTGTGACTTAGGAAGGGCTGGCCAAGACGATTTGAATTTGACCGCCTTGATGCTGACACACTAGTCGATGTTCAAGCAAAAAGCTGTTGGATGCAAGCGAAGCCTCTTTTTCCAAGGCTCGCCATACAGCAGGTCCTATGGCTTTGGGCGCAAAACTGAGGTTGAGGGATCTGAGGACATCCATTTCGCAAAGGATAGCAGCTTTCGCAGCCCACTGGGCTGGTTTCCCATGCAAACGCTACCACACCCAAATAACAAAGCGAAATCATTCCTAGGGACGTCTGTGATTGCGCCTCAAGGTACCTTTGGTTCCGAGCCGCTGAATGTTCGATCCGTTCCCCAGGCGGGACACAATGCGATGTGCTTCGCTCACTGGGAGGACCAGCCTCAGGCCGACCGACAAAACATGACTGAATCAAGCGTAACCTCAAACAATGAGAGCATCCCACGAAAGTAGGCCACGAAGGCAAAACCTGCTCGCCAGAACCAAGCAGAATCAAACTACGCATGCGTCCAAATTGTAGGCCACCCTCAGCCTAAACATCATCATGCATTTGATGCCATGTTCTCGGCAAGCACCTCCGCTGTCAACTGCGTGCTGACAAGTGACAGGCCGTACTTCATCGTCTCTGAACGAAGCAAACCTGAGAGCTCCCAATTCTTTCAGCTTTGCTGCATGCCCCCTTGCACCTGCTCTTATCGCAGCTTCAGCACAACATGTGCATGCACCGTAATGAACTTGGACAAGAGTTGCCCGCCCTGAAATGCTATAAGCTTTGGCCCCCGTTCGAGCACAGAATCAAGTAGTCCAGTTCAGCGCCCTTGTAAATCAAGTATGACAGAATTACATCATAATAAACATACATGTCTATGCTGTGATTGCATGTAACTCATGCTGATGCTCAACCGACTAAAACAGGTGTAGCGAACACGTCGCGACGACCCCCGCGCATCGCATCTGGAACGACTCGCTGAAAGGCTCTGCGGCCCGTTGCAGACCCCACGGCCATGGTGCTTGGCACCAGATACTGGTGCATCTGGATCTCACTTCAAGCCAGCTTCACTCGCAATGGGATCTCAGGAAGGTTCATGAAACTGAGATCCCTTCCAAAGCCTATGTAATTTACTTAATTTGTTATTTTTGCAACATGTACTCACCATTCTAATGAACATACACATACTTAATTAAACATTCCCCTGCTTGCCAAGTGACCCATGGCTCCGTCCGCCGCCTTCAAAATCCCCGCGCAATGCTCTGCTACGAGCCGCCACTGCTACGAGCTGCACGCGGCTCGATGGATTAAACAGTCAAGCTACTTGGCTGCGGGCTGGACCTAGGTCCCAGCTGCATTTCCCCTTGACTCATGAGCGAATTCTGGAAGCCGACTGGCAACCACAGAGAGATTCTTACAACATTTAAAATAGACTAATCGCCTTTCCTGACGCGTGAGGGACGGTGATAGTGCTTGAGTGCAGGAAGTCACACATACACCTGTCAATCTTGGCTATAGTTTGAAGTGGCTGGCACTCGATTTGCTCGTTTTGCACCAAATGTGTGCCGGCCCCTTCAACAAAAAGATGAATCATATATGTTGCCTGCCTCCTTTCAAGTAGACAATCATCATCTCCAAGGCGGGTGGGGGGGGTTGCTCCAAGCACGGGTCAGGGTCAGCCAATATTGCCACCGAACTCAAAATCGGAATCCAGGAGCACCAGAACTTGAGCCCCTTACATCAAGGCAACCCTAATGAGGTGAACAGCACTGTGCCGAAGACTCACTTCCAGTGATCCCTCAAAACCCTACAGTACTTTTGGTAATGGATGGTGGGGTCGAAGGGGGTTCATCCATCTTGTATGATCAGCGTGAGCAAAGCAAACCACCCGACCCAGTTTGCCTTTTGACGACCTAGTCCACAAGCACAAGTCTGGTGCGTCTGAATCATGCACTGCCATGACACATCATGTTTGCGTGGAAGCTTGGTCAGGATCTAGCGGCCGCTAACTAAAAGAAAAGGACCTCCAGTGCAGAATCTGTTCTTCCGGGCAACGACTCAAGCCGTAGCAAAGCCATGCCTTCAGCCCCTGCTCTGCCGCCAGCCGCCGATGTGCAGCCAGCTCTGCCCTGCATGCGGCTTCTGCTTTCAGTGCCGGACATGCACTGGGTGTGGCCACATGGTTGTGGCCAGGCAGCGCAGAACTCTGAGAACTAAACAGAACTAAGCTTTGCGTTGGGAAAGGAACACAGTGTGCGTTATACAGCATCCAGTTCATTTATTTAGCATCGCTGGTGCATTCCCTGAAGGCATAATGACGAGGGAACAATGACAGGAGCTATCATTTTTGCGGCACTGCGGTGAGATGGAGACCATGATGATAAAGACCTCGCTCGCAAGGAGCCCTTTGGTGGCCCCAAATAAGCACATCTGCGCAGCTTGGCTAAGCTCATCTGGTTTCTGGGGAGTTTAGTATGGGTTTAGTATTGGGAAGTTAGACATTTGTATTGGCATTTGTTGGGGTCGGCTGAAGGATTTTTGTAATATGGGGGGGTCCGTTCGGAAATGGGAAGTGGTTAATTTGGTGAAGCCGAAGGTTGTTAGAGGAAATGCATGAGAGCGTGCGCCAAATATTGGCGCGTGTTAAAAGACAAGTTCACTTAAGATTACGCATCGCCCGCCCCTGTTGCATTGCCATGAGGCTATTTCCCAAATTGGGGAAAGGTTGGCATCCTTTTCGTGTCCCTTTAAACCAACACTCCACAAAGAGAACACTCAAAGGAAGACACATGCATAGGAAGCACAGTCTCTTAGTAGTTGCTTGGCGGTTGTGCTGAACCATGCGACCCGGAGCAGCTTTGCCTGCCTCAAGCGAGACAACTCCGATACCAGGCTGTGCAACTGACCTTGGCCACAAACAAGGCTAGGAGGCTGCTGGGCGGAAAATGGGCTTGCGACCAGAGACGTGATTGGAGCGGGGTGTCAAACTTATAGACCCCTTGGACCTTCTTGGCAGGCAGCACGCTTCATTCTCCAAGATCCTAAAAAGGGCCCGAGCGTAGTGTTGACACCCAATCAAGTTCCCTCGCAAACCATGTTTTCCTGCTTTGACATGAATATCAGGGCGACGGTTGCTTGCCAGCTTTCCCAGCAAATCTTCGCTGCAAAGCCCTTCTCGTCAAGGCGCCGTGCCACTGCGCCAGCCCGAGCATTGCAAAGCTGTGAACTGCCAGGACCCTGCAAACAACCTTGTTCTACAATTGGAGGTTTGGGCGATGCGTAGCACACCGCAAGTTAATTAAATCGTCCCAGCATCCAACACCTCCATGGAGCATGTGGAAAGACAGGCTAATTTCCCCCAAATCCGATCTGAACACCGCAACGCGACACCCCCGCCTTCCATCGCGTCGTGTGTCCAAATTGGCTGCGCCCTTAGCACCACACCGCTTCTGCGGAGCCTACTTCACTTTCAACCCATCCTGTATCTGAATGGAACCAAGGCAAGCTCACCAATAGACACCGGTTGCTGACGGCGGTGGATTCCCATTGGCTAAAACAAGTTCGCTACACCTTCTGCTGGCCTTTGCCTTCTGCCAGGGTCATACATTGGAAAAGACCATGCCCAGGACTGCCCAGAGTCCCTCTCTTGTAAATTCACAACATCTCTGAGAACGCGCTCGGCTCGCAGAACTAACTTAACCTTACTTAACCTGCAAGAATGGCGCAACCAGCGAATCACAGATCGCGGTCCGCAAACAGCACGCGATGAACAGGAAAAAAGGCTCACGCAGGGCACCGCTCCGCAGGGCATATGCACTTCAGACAACTTCAGCTTTCTCTGCCCTTTGGGACGCCAACGGCCGCGCTTTGTGCAGAGTGGGGTCCTCCATGGCGGCAATTGCCTGCAAAGAGCTGGTCAAGGAAAGTCCTTGGACCCTGGCACCCGGTAGCCTCCAAGAAGTCCACCCAAAGGTGGCCGGCCGCCGACCGCCGACCGCCGGCGTCCAACAACAGGGGCTAAGAAAAGGGAGCCCTGGCGGGGCTGCCGCACCAGTTTGTGCTCAACCAAGCTGATGTACACCCACACCTTAAGAGAAAAGCGAGAAACCAAAACGGCCAAAAGATGCCAAAAGATGCCAAAAGCCCACCCCCCCGACTTGCAAGACCTACCCAAATGCTCAAACCCACGCAAGCAATCGTGAGAAGGACAACTTCGCAAAAAAAACTGCCTGCGCCCTAAACCTTTGAACAATTTTAACACTCACAAGCTAGAGTCCTACGTGCCCCAAACTGACCCCAAAAATCCATGCACCGCGGCCTCATCAGAAAGGCACCTCAGCCAGCGCGAGCAGGAACGTGCAACAGAAGCATTTGAGGCTCAAACGTGGCACGCCAGGAAACTGGCCCAAAGAAATGTTGACCCTGCTCCGACCCGGCTGCGGCACCAAACCCTGTTGACAAGCGCTCCTATTGCTCATGCAATGCACGCACTCAAGATAATTGCAAAGAAGTTATTGCCTTGCATGGCATCCTTGTATCCCGTAGAAAGTTGACTGTTGGAAGCCGAAATCTCTTAGGATCCATTGGGAAGGACAAGTCTGGACAGCGGAATGGGGACCACCTACAACCTGCTGACTTAACAGTTTAACATACGGGTTTGTCTCTAAATGAGGGGACGCCCAAATTCGTGTTTTGTCTGTTGGTTTCCTTTAAAAGGCAGCCCACAAGGGGATCCCCCATTGACATAGAAAGACACACCCAAGAGTAGAAGAGAAGCTCCCTGAACACGGGAGCGTTCCTCTCTGGGGCGCCAAGCCACAGCCAAAGAACATGGCGTGCAAGGGACACAACCATGTCACATTTGGCTATGGGTCAAAACCAATGGTACCATTTCGGGGTAGGTGCACCACCCCCATTTTAGTACCTATTTTAGTGGGGATTGGGATGTTCACTGGGGGTTCGGGGTTTTGACCCATGTCCATTTGTGGTCGGATCAAGCGTGGAAGCAAGATGGTAAGCAAATGTGTGCTGTTGGCGGGCAGAGGGACAATGTCCGTGCTTTTGTGCTTTTGTGCTGGTGTTGGTGTTGTACACAGCTGCAGCTGCTGCAGCCCACACAGCAAACATTGCCTTTCAGCCATTGGTTTTGCAGGTGAGGTAAAATCCGGCCAGGGAGTCAGTGAGTCTCAAAGAAAGCCGCGGGACCCGGGCTTGCAGGAACTGCAAGGAGAGCTCCATGAAAACGAGAGGTGATGTCTCACGTTTTGTAGGCTGCTTTTCTTTGCCTCGGAGTTTGGGCCGAAAGCCGCTGAAGCAAAGGCAAATCTGGCACACGTGCGCAAGCCTTGGGTTCACAAGAATTGAGGCTCTTTCCTCTGGGATGGCCATGGAAATGGAGTACATCATCGCCTTTTTGAGAAGTGCCTCCCTCACTAGAACAACCCCGTCTGAGATTCTCTGTAGCCAGACCCTACTTGACGCGGCCAGCTCTCAAGACCCCTCCCAAAAAAACCAGTCGCCCCAACCCGCTCGTTTGCCGAATTTGCCGCGCTCACCAAGGCACCAGCAACGCTTCCCATGACACCAAAACACAGCGCCAGGAAGCTGAAACTTGCAGGATTGGCATGGTCAACCGCGGGCTTGCTGCCGGGTGGGGAGTACCTCCATTTTGATAGAAGACTGTGTCACAACAATGTTTTTTTGATGAGGCTGTCCCAGATTGTCCCAGCCCTGAAGCGTCCTGAGAGACTCCAGAAATTGTTGAAGCATTCGTCACTGCCTATTCATTTGCACACTTAGACTCTCAGGAGCCAGGTCCCCACCACATGCAGTCGAACTCGCGGGAACTCGCCGTCCATCGCTTAAACACATATCCTGACTAAAACACATCCTTCAGCGCCACTGTGACATTTTGTTTTCCGGTCTCAAAACACCTGTGCTTGAACATTGGAAGCAGGAAAGCGATCACACACCAAGTCACCAAGTCCCTTCTTGAAGCTCTGAACAGAGGCAACTGCTAGCTTTCATGGACTAAAGAATGTCAGTGCTGGGCAAAAGGCCAGAAGAAAGTGTAGGTGCCACCAAACTGGGCACACTGTCCCGGCCAGCCAGAACGCAGCCCGAGAGGTCGGGTGAGACAGTGCTGATTCCCCGGGCGCGGAAAAGGAAGCCCATGGCCTGGCTGTTTTGTGGCTACTGCACACATCCATGTCGGGCTGCCGGTGCACCCGGTGGGGGGGGACGAACCCTTCGGTGAATCAACGCCTCATGCGAATTTCCTCCCCGAGGGCCTATGCCACTTGCGACCTTGGACGCAGCTTTGCGCGCCAGGGCCCGTTGCCAGGACCCGCTCCCACACGGCAATGCTCCGCAAGGCAGCACTCTGCAACTGGGCGCAGCAACTTAGCTCAAAGAATCTGCCAACTAGAGCTTAAGCAGGAAACAGGAAGGGGTGACATCATACGTCTCTGCCAACCCTAGTCTAAGACCGCCGCATCCATTCCTGACTTCTCATGGCCGTGACGATGAATTCTTTCCTCAGCCGGCAGCGCGATCATGCTCGGAATAAAAAACGGAGCCAACTCTTCAAAGACTCTGAAGAGAGCCTGAACAAAGTGCTTCTGACACGTTTGCATGCATGGGACGCATCACGGATGCCAGTCTGATTCGAACAAGCCTACTGCGCTTATATCTTTACTTGTGATTTTCGTTCGCAACTCCGAGAGGACCGGATCATGGGGTTGTGTTGTTTGGATGCTGGCTTCACAATGTGTCAAGCACTTGAGCATGGTGTGCTGGACGGCCAACATGCGGCTGCAGCTAGGTGCATACAGGAACTCGCGGGAACAATGGTGCCCAACAGGCCAACAGGGCGACCCAAATGCACAGCAATGCAAAGCCAACTTGGCATTGGGCCATTGCTTGGTTGACGTTGGGTTAGGGGAGCAACAATTCTCAAATTTTAGCAGTTCAGTGGTTGAATTTCAACCACTAAACCACCATAAGCAAAAATGAGCAAAATGTGTCCCAACAACAACCATGAACTGGTGGAAAATACTGGACCACTTCGACCCCAAAGAGAGCCAGTCAACTCAATAAGCAAAAATGGGAGACATGTGTCCCAACAACAACCATGATTCTTCGCCCAGGTCTTTACAGCATCGCCCATGTCGCTAAGGTGCCGGGCGTCCTTGGTTTCACCGGCGCCTGAAGGCCCGAATCGACGGCTGATTCCTGACACTGGCCTACCAAACTCGCACCTCAAAGCCAGAAACAACCAACCCCGACCTTTGCAGAGCCAAGGGGGCCACTTTGGCAACGCGGGCTTGCTTGCACACGTCAGCTGGCAAATATGAGTTGTGAGCGAATGCGATTCTGTGAAACTACCACCCAACACCAAGGAATGTCATGGCCGGAAGCGCCCAAAAAGCGGCCGCTCCGGCCCCACACACCTCACCGCACCATTGCCGTCGCACACCTTTCGCAGTGCTAAGAACAAGCCTCGGCACCTGAGGGATACAAGCGGCCCTGAGCCTCTGGGCCAGTCCAAAGACAGCCACTTGAGCATCTTTCAAAGGCATCACAGCAAAGGATGCACATATGTCAAAACCTGTGCCCACAAGTGTAGGACAAGACAGGTGGGCATCGCAGATGTTCGCCTCGACAAAGTCGGGGTGAACTTCGGGTATTGCACCTCCTTTTGGTCCCATGTTGCCATCAAAGAGCATGTGAAACCGACTGCCTCCCACCAAACCCACAGGATCCCCCTACCTTCAGGAAAAGAGGGGGTGTGGGGGGGTTTCCTAATTCCATTTATCTCGTCTTCCCCATAAAGGGAAAATGGAACCATAAATGGAATTCCAGGGGTCAACCCCCCTCGCCCAATTCCATTCTTAGGGTTCTCACAGGCCGACGGCTTTTTTCAGCCACCCCTTTGCCCAAGCCAAGCTCCCGGCATTCTCCCAATCACCAGAACTGAATCGCTTTGTGCGAGTCCTGAGGGACATGGACCAAGCCGTGCGGAGGTTGGTATACTGTTTCCATCGGCTTCCGCATACAAGCTGCCTTTGAGTAAAACAAGGCATGACCAATGCTTAGCTTGTAGCAAGATGAAGTGGACCAAGCAGCAAAGGTGGGAGGGCACCGTTTCTAGAGGCCCAATGTGAGGCAGAGTTGACGCACAATATCAAACGGCCCTAGGTTCAAAACGGTTCATGCAAGTGATCTGTGGGATTTACCGTGGACTTCAAAACGCGAAGAACTGCAAAACCCGCAAGGCGAGTGTTTACCCTATCTCTCAGTAGGTGCCCGAATTGGATGTTGCTCTAGTTCGCGCAAGCCTACTCAAGCGAACGCCAAACACAACTGCCTCGCAAGATATGCTGGAATGGACTGTTGCAACCATACCCCTTCGTGGGAGAGCACACCTCCAGGGAGACGATTCGCCTCCTGTCCGCATGGAACGGGGGGTCCCTTTGAACGAAAGTTCCATCTTGGTAGATCCACCAAGAAAAACAGCCTTGCATCGGGGTCCTAGTCTTCCTTCCGTCTAAACGAACCCCTCGATGGAACATAATCCGTAGTGGGACGCCTCTATTGGCAAACACGAACCCGCCAATGTCACGACCTGAAGCTGTCGTCCCGGGCCTTGCTGGGAATTCGGTGGTGGCAGTACCTTCCGGCCTAAGTCCCATTGGAAAGGGATGTGGATGCTTTTCCGTTTTGCCCCACCTGGCTCAAACTGAGTGTTGCAAACATGTGAAGCTGAGCTTTTTGTTCAAGGACATTCGCTCTCTGCTTGTCTTTTCTGGATTTTGGTGGGCACCGTCCAGAATTGTGTGGCACAGCAGTGGGGCAAGCCAGAGTCGAAACCGCTATGGCCCACCTCAGTTCCCCGATGCCTTGTCTTCAGCACTGCCGGTCACCTAGATGTTGACCAGCAGACAAAGAGAAGGGGACTTTGTGAGAGATGCTGATGCCTAGACTTCCGGCTCTCGTTCCAGAATCTCAGGCAAGATTGTAGCCAGCTAGAAGTTCGAAGGAAGCTCTCAAAGCCCCCAACCTCCCCTAGACCCTGTAGAGCTTACAAGCTCGCCTCATTTTCACAAGTTGCTTCTCTTCTTCCGATCTCAACCTGCACAATGCAATGCCAAAGGCTGAACCCGGGGCCCGTGGCTTAGAGACATGCAGGTGCAAATGAAGGCTTCAGTTGAGGAGGCCAAGCCAAAGGCAAACGTGCTGGTGCGATAGGCAGGGTATCTTGCTGGAACGAACTACTTGGGGGTCCCCTTGAAGGAAACCACCAGTTGGATAGTTTGTTCTCAGTCCCTGCCTATCGCACCCAGCAAGTTCTTTAACTTCACCAAGTAAATGCGGGCGGAAATCAATGCTTCCTCTCCACATCTGTGGCCCAAGGTTAATGCCCGAGCACCCGACGTGAAGCTGCCTGGACAATCAACGCCGGCATTCAGTGCCCCACCCCAAATTTAAACAAGAACCTGAAAGAAACCCTTTGGACAAGCGATGTGACCATGTTCCTTACAGAGAGCATATCTAGTCTATGCTGCCACAGGCATGGCAACTTGCATGGCACCAAGGCATTCAATGGTCCGGAAACTGAGTTGGCTACTTTCCCCTCTTGCATGTCATATATCTGAACTCTAACTTGCTTTGCGGATTGAGCGGCACACAATGTCTAAAGGTCCGTGAGCCAGTGGTGGCTGTCCAAGCTTGTGGGGGAAGCATTGCAAAAGCCAAAAAAAGGTCCCCGACCGTGGGCCTCAAGCTGTGGATCCTTAGGCAACTCCAAAAGTAGCGTGGCCAAGACGGTGGCCCAGACTGCAGGTACCCCCAACCGGCTCAAGCACTCAAGGCTCGGCCCAAGGTTTCAAGTATGGGAAGTCCAAAGCAGGTTTGCGAAACTTGCCACATGTCCCAACCACATCCTGGCCATCCAAAGGGGTGTCGAATAGAGCTTGGTTCAACAGAAGTGTTGCAACAGGTGGGTTGGGCTAACTCTGTTCCGAAGCCTTGCCTGGGAACTCGTCCACCTGCCGAACAGCTTGCGAGCTTGCTTCAGCGCGTTAGGCAATACCGATCCCAGCAAAGCCCTGGCCATTGGTCAGGGTTGCCTTGGACGAACAAACAAACAGCGCCATAAACCGCAACCACACTCATGTGACATGTGCTTGGCTTCACCAAGTTTGGAATGTCACTAAGCACTGAGCAGCATTCAGGGTACCGGGGGGGGCTAGCAATAGACAAGAAATCATGAAGCCCCGGCGCGCTCCTTTTTTTCCGGGGTTTGGTTGGGAAATAACCCGTCAAGGATCATTTAGCGAGGGCCCTGCACCCATTGCAGCGGTGGGCCACCAGTTGCTTGAGAGGGAAGAACGCAACAAGAACACGCACAAGGAACAGAAGTGACGCAGCATGCCATAAGATGTGTCCCACGCCTGTCTAAGCTGAATGTCAAATAGCTCAAAAAGGAACCCAGACTTCCAGCTAGGTTCATCTAGGTTCGACTTTTCCATGAAAGAAAGATCGACCTCTTGCCCTGCTGATCCGTTTTTGGGAACATTCGATTACTTCCAATACTTGGAACGATCCAGAGCCGCCGGCTTTGCAGCAACTGAGAGTGTTCTCCATGAAATTCCGAGACCAACCCCCCAACCATTGACATAAGCCACAAAAGACACATCGAACCCGGGGGGGCTGGCTTCCTCTTTGGGGGCCCCAAAGGCTGGCCGTCAAAACAAAAGCGCCCTAAACAGTGCAGAGAACGCCTTTGGGGCCTTCATAACAGATCCCTAGATCCTGAAACCCCAAACCAAAGCCAAACGATGGAAACTTAAACCCGCACCAAAGCGCGACTTTCTCTTTTTTGCCATGTCCCACCAATCGCTGCGTTGGGCTGCACAATGAAGCTTCTGGTTCCGGTCCATGACTCAAGGCTTCCTGGAGGGACATATGAGACCTGGGACCCTCGCGCCCGGCGCCTGGCGCGCATCGATGCAGGGCAGCGGCGAGGTCCTGCTCAGCTTCAAGCTTCGCACCTGGCGGCCGGAGTGATTTGGCCATGGGTCAAAATCCAAATCGTACCCCCGGTGAACACCCGATTCAATCCCCACTAAAATAGACCAACACGGGCGGTGAATTCACCTACCCCAAAATGGGATCCCATTGGTTTTGACCCACAGCCACTACACATGGAACCAGTAGCCTGCAAGTTCGGCGTGTTCTTTGTGTAGGTGATACGAGTGATACGTGACTTGCAAAAAGCCAAAGGGAGGTCCTTGGCATTAAAAAAGATGGATGCCTGGTTCTGTTCCATATTTATCTGCGGGAGCGGATTTTCTTGCAACCTGTCCGTCCTGGCACCGTGTGCGTGGGGTTGGATGATGAACAAAGCAATGGATGAGGCATCATGGGCTCTCAATAAAATCCTCTGCGGCTTGATGGTATTCGGAGACAACCATCCATCACCAAAAATCAAAGCATCAGGTTGAATAATTGCAGCTCCCTTTCTTCAGCAGAATTATTGGGGAGAGATCCTAGGGCAGCAAGTCTTTTTTTGAGGCATTCCTGAAATGCACGGAAACAGGGCCTGCCCACCAACCAACCTGCGGTGGCCCTCAAATAGTCTTGCAAACCTTGCTGGGTGCTAAAGCCATCCATCTTCTGATGTTTTCGTGGAGGCTCAACTAGCAATTAAACATTCAGGGTTGCTCAACATGGCCCTTCCTCGTGTTTTTGCAGGTCAACCAATGAATCATTCAAGGTTGCTCAATGTTCTGATTGCCCAAACACGGGGGGTGCCAATGACTTCAGGTTACCCTGCAAACATAGAAGTCTGCAGGAACCCTAACAAACGCAATTCCCACATGGGCTTGCAGCCTCCGATTCAAACAAGATGTCAGTAATTATCCTCCGAGGGTCCAACCAATTTCATCATCCTCACCCTCTTCTTTTTGCCAATAATTTCATAAGCCTCACAATGTTTTTTTGGTTTTTTGCAAAGGCCCCAACCGTGGCGAACGCAAACAACGCGCCTCAGCCTTCTCGAGAATCGGCGCGCTGCGACTCTGCTTCACACGCCGGGCCTGCAAAGCGGATAGGGCCTCCGGACTTCGAACAGAAAACAGGAAGGATTGGCTTGTTTAACCAGGACCTCAAAACATCCCACTTTGCGGAGGTTCACTCAGGGCCTTTCAGGGCAAATAAAACTCTGGTGTTGCTTGGATCCCGCTGGTTGGCTCGTGCTGGCTGATGGATCCATTTGTCTGACATGACTTCTGGTTGGTTGGACGGGCAAGTCGCCAGCTGCATGTCGTGCCTTCCAAAATCTGGGAAGTTCGTAATTTAACCACCTCAATTGACTACTGTAGTTGAGTTTTTCGCTGAATGGTTCTTTGGATGCGACTCGCATGAAGCGGACCTATCGGCAATGTTTCTGAGGCAAGTACCATGTTCGGAAGCCTCCGCCACTAGCGATGTTTGACTGAGTGATGTAGCATTTGAAGGCGGACAGGCAAGGTTTCTCATGGTTCCAACATGTTGTTGGTTTTGCTTGGTGAGTACATGTTCCGGGATTCTCTTGGTGAGTAACACGTAAGCACCTAAAACGGGCGCCTTGGGTGAGGTCACACACCTCGATCCTGTCGCGAAGTCCGCCGAATTCGGAGAAGGAGCACCCCGCCTGGGCTTCCACCTCCTGGTCCTGACCGAGGAACACAGGTCAGGTGAAAGGGGAAAAAGAACATACTGTGGATGGACGAAATCTGGCACTTTGAAAAGATGGGAAACCGTTGTTGGTTGGCAGTTACAGGGGAATCATCATTCCAGGCTTTCTTGGGTGGTGCAGGATTAAGTCCATCCACAGTATTTAGGAAAGCTGCCAATTGTGGGGGGGACTGGTCCGACACCCACGTGACGTTCTCTCAGAAGATTGCCCGGGCCACGGGTAGGAGAATGGCCGTATCGCCAGTCAAAAAACACATCCGGGACACGAAAGAAGGCTGCCGTGGCTGCCCTAGGATGTGACAGTCCACGTTTGTGACCTCGGGGTAACTTGCTTGTCCAGGTGACATTGTCGATGCGATGTGTTGTTTGTGATGCAGCTGCAGTGAAATTTGAGAGGCGGGTGAGGGCAAGCTAGAAGACCCGACGACATGTACGACCCAGTTGCCGAGACATTTATAGAAAGCTTGAATGAACATGTCGTCAACACCCCATGGACCAGGTCAGGAGAAGATTTCTAGCCGCAAAGACGCGAACGATGGGAATGTGAGTTTTTCATACATTGAGCTGCTGTTGTTGATGATCTATTCGGGGATCAGGTGCGTATTCCTAACCTAACATTTAATCAGAAATGCTAGCTATGCTGGCATTGAGTTCTCCTTTAGATGGTTTTCAATCTTGGTACTATGCGGATTGATTGTCTGGGCGAAGAGGTGGAACAATCACTAGCTCAGTCCGTCAGTGCAGGGAAGGAAGTTCGGAAGGAAGACAACAAGAAGCACAAGCGAGCCTGAGGCTGTTTTGGCCGCATGCAATGCACTTTGCTACCTGGAGTCGCCACACATGTCATGACAAAGTCTCTGCCAGTGCATGGTGCAATTTGCGAGGCTCTGATCAGATTTGGGGCAATGAGACGGGGGCACCAACTAGCTTTCTCGAGATTCGAGCCCAAGTGTTTGGTTTCCTTTCGGGGTCTGTTTCTTGCCCGAAAAGGAACCCTCAAGACGCCAAGGATTCTAAGTCACCGCGGGAGCTAGCTTTTGCGAGGGTGACTCTGGCCGGAACTCACGAGAACTTGCTTGTGGATAGTCCTGAGTCCCAAAATCAACCAGCTAACGTCCACTTTCAATAATTATGGATGTTCCAGAAAGGCTGTCACTCTTACAGACTTTGAGGGTCCCTGCTTTGGGTTGGCTGCTGGCAGATTCAACAGGAAAGTAGTTTTGCTTCATCCTTCAAGAACCCACGAAGGGCCATTCCTCCCGACTCCGATTCCGCCTCTGTCTTGGAGCCCTTGGAGCTTTTGGACCTGTCCGCTTGGGTGACACGTCCGGGCAACGAAAGTCGAGAAGAAGCTCATCGCGCAACAACCAAATATAAAGCACAGCTCAGCTTAGATCAACTGAGACAAACCAAACAAAAGCCTAGGACTTCAGCCGGACACAATTCGTACATGGCCGTTTCACAACTAGAAACAAGCAATGCTACTTCAGCGTGAAGGCGAGGCCACGAAGAAGGACATACGTTTCTTGGGTTGTTTGTTTGCTTGCTTCTTACTTATGCTTGCTTCTGAATGTGCTTACTTGGCTTGGTTTTTTGCCAAGCCGCGCTCTGGCTGGTTGCTTCCCACCCGGATTGTGGTCCTCCATTTGCTTTAGCCGCCTGGAAAACCTTAAGCAAAAAGTCCAATAGTGATCGAATCCATTAAAAGCAAACAGGGCAAATATATAAATATTCTTAAGCAAATGGAAGTAGTTGGAGAAAAAAAGGAGAAAAAGGAAGCAAACAATATATATATATATATATTTGTTTTTCTTAAATAAAAAGAGGCGAGGGGTCCAGCCTCGGCCGCGGCTCAGGCTCCGCCTGGAAGGCCTAGAGGCGATGGAACCGGATCCGTGAGGGGGCTCCAAACTTCTCGATGGCTGGAAAAATGTGCACGGGTCCTTTTTGCTGGGCCAACGGACGGCCAAGATCAGTCTTCAGAAGTGGGGAGCCAGCGTGGGAACAAGGGTGGGATGGGCCCCCAATGGACTGCCAAGATAGTCAGTCTTTAGTGGGGAGCCAGCGTGGGCAAAAGGCCGGGATCCAACTCTCTCACTCCAAAGGCCCTGTGAAACGATGACTTGCAATCTTGATAAGGGCCAAAGGCCTCACATCGGCGTCCATCCGCGCCCCGCTGCACTGGGTTCTGGGCGCCCCACCCAGCTTGGCCAAGCAGCGGGAACCTCACCTGAGCGGAGCTTGCACACAACCTTGCATCGGCTCTGGCAGCATAGCTGTCTAGCTGTGGGTCAAACATATGTACCCAAAATGGCCTGCCCTGGTAAATGGAAACAAGGATTCAAACCTGCGGTTTTCTGGTGGTTTAATTTTGACCCATACCCATCTCAGCGTCTGAGCTCAACATGCAGCTAGTCCAGTCAAAGCTTTTCGTCCAGCTACCACATTTGTGATCGCATGCTTTGAGCGATCTCTACACTTTCCTAAGTCCTACTTGCTGCAAGCAACTTTAAATCAGTAACTCGTGGGTGTGCATCCTCATGGACTTATCGACGTGGTATGGCTTTTGAGTACTGATAGCTCTTTCTTTAGGACCCACGAAGGAAACTTGTTCAGTGGATTGTGGCTCCAGCGCTTTCTGTTGCGCATTTTCGGGAAGAACCAATTCACTGCCAAGTACAAACAGCAAACAGTGTGGAGATCGCCGTTCACGGCCATGGATGGTTTTGGCCGCCCGATTCCGCGCTGGAACTCAGAAATTTAATTTTCCAGGCTGCAAGCAGCCGATTTCAAATCACCAGCGAGGCGCCGGTTGCCAGCGGCCAAGCTACGTCCGGCAAAGCTAGTGCCCCCTGGGCCGATTCGCCGATCTAGGCATGGCCATGGGAAACGTGAACTACCTTTCCGCTAGGCTCTAACTCAAATCTGGAATCTGACTCGAACCCCAAACCCGCATAGGTGACCTTTTGGAGCAGTAGATGGCCCTGGCAAATGGAATAAACCACATCTAAACCAGTGCCATGTATTTTCAACCAAACTAACCTAAAAAGGACACCTATGCCAACCAGATTTTCCCTTCGGAGAAAGTGAAAGTCAGGTTCCCTTCGATTGAACGAGGCGAACTCACACTGCACAGCCGTAGCGCTGCGCTTTGGCCAAAGCTCCTTGGGCGCGAGGTTCGGTGGCTGGGTCTCATCCCATGTTCCGCTTTTGGGTTGGGTTCCAGGGAAGCTCCAAATCAAAGCCGAAAGGAAAGGGAGTCGAAAAAGCCGGGACTCAAAACCTGTGCCACCTCTCTACATCTCACTGACGATGTATGAGCACAAGCCCCGCGAAGGATTGGAACCACCGCAGAAGCGGCATTTGGCACTGACCGATAGGAACCACAAGGATGCGCATGGGCAAATATGACGACACCCGCGTGCAAGCTTGGCACAAAGGGGGCTGGCCGGGCAAAAAACTACCACGCCTGAGAATGCCCAGGTGAATTGGGAATGAACGAATGGCCAGACATCCCGTCACTCGGCTTCTGCTTCTCAGCGCGACTTTGCGCGTGAGAATTGCAACTTGGCGGCCTAAGGGCACAACCACGTGTGGTCTGGATGCCTGTGTGGTGCCCCGGTGTAGATGCCCCTGGTATCATGCCCCTACATAAACTTTGCAATTTTGTGGTCATATGTCAGGGCCACCCGCTCCAAGTCGCCCTGAGTACTCCAAAAGCAGCATAGGACAGCACATGTTGTCCTCCCTCACTGCACAGATTTCCACAGAAGAACGAGGATCTGGGGGGGTCCACGGCCCTTCTCCGCGTAGGCCATAGACCAAACCTTTTGTTCAGGTCAACGACCGGTCAACAGCGCTGCCCCAAACCGCCCATTGAAGTCGCGTTTTTTTGGGCGGGGCGTCCTCTTGCCATGTCTGGGATGAGTTTGGCATACCTCCAAGGAAACGGTCTGCACTTTCAAAACCCACAACCATTTCCTCCAAGGAATGGCTGGGTCAAAGCCAGCACAATTGCTCATCTTGGTCCAGTCATCTTTTTGGCTTAGGGACAAGTCGCGCCCAATTCCTTAGCCTAAGGACGATTGGTCCAGTCATCCCCTTGGCTTGCCATGAAAATTGGGCAATGGAATTCCCTCAGCCTAAGGAAGTACCCGCCTTAGGGCGATTCCGGGGCAAGCGATTCGGCCCATTGCATCCAAGCCGCTCGCACGCCTCGCGGCCTCCTCGTCCTCCTGGTAAGCACCGGGTGTCGGGGCTTGACTGCGGAAACATACAAAACGCCGACCAACAGGGATATTACACCTGAACATTGCCTTGCAAACGGTGGTTTCCCTTTCTGTTGGTGGAAAAAGCCATGCTTCAAATGGGCAAAATGATGCAACATGTATCTTTTAAGGAGCCCTAACCAACTTGCGGGCTATCTTGAAGGGCTGTGTCAGCTTCCCCCTGATGGCTTGGTGTGGCTTAAATGCTACCTTCTCTGTTTGGTTTCAAAAGGAACTAGGGTCCAAGTCACTTGGTCCCCAAACCACCCAGCCAAAACCACCCAAACTGAGGGGAAACTGACTGCGGGCTGTCTAGCACCCAGGGCTTGCTCAGAGTTCCCTACGTTTCCCTCAAACGAACATGAAGGCACCCAAACAAAACTCATGGACAATTTCCGCCGGGATGTGTTATAGTCACCAAATAGGGAAATGGAGGGATTCGTGGACTCTGTGCCTACCCTGTCCCTTGCTTGGCCAAGGCGTCTCTTAGGTTGAACCGTGGACCCCGCGGAGTGATGAGATAATGAGAGTCCCTGCCAATTCGCACTCGCAAAACCTGTCGCAGCGCACAATGACAGTTGGCCGTCACGAGATTGATTGCACTGGGACCTTCGCCACAGCATAGTCAAACATGTCCATGGACCGCTTGCCCCAAGCTCTACTTAGAGCTCGAGTGCCTGAAGCTTTGCTAATGCTGATGCGACGTGCGGCCGTCGCGTCCTCCCTTGGCTCATCGCCTTGGTTGCCGAATAAGAACCCATCACATTCTGCTATGCTACTTTGCCCTTAAAAAGAAGGCCCTTCCTCCACGACAAGGGCCTTAGCCTTTGTGGGAGGCTTTGCAGGCGGGTGGTTGGTTGCTTGCTTGTTTGGGCTGGGGTGGGTTGGGGGTCTGTCTGTCTGTCTGTCTGTCTGTCTGTCTGTCTGTCTGTTGGTTTGTTTGCTTGTTTGCTTGTTTAGTTGATTGTCTGTCTGTCCGGTCGTTGATGTCTGCTTGTTGGTGCGTGTTTGCGTGTGTATGTTGGTGTTTATGTGTTTGTGCTTGTGTTTGTGTTTCTGTTTGTGTGTGTGTTTGTGTTTATGTGTTCGGTTGTTGTTTGTTTAATAGTTTGCTTGCTTGTTTGTTTGCTTGTGTGTTTGTCTGTCTGTCTGTCTGTCTGTCTGTCTGTCTGTCTGTCTGTCTGTCTGTCTGTCTGTCTGTCTGTCTGTCTGTTTGTCTGTCTGTTTGTTTGTTTGTTTGTTTGTTTGTTTGTTCGCGTTTGCGATTCATTCATTGCGTGGTTGCTTCGTTAGTTGTGTTTGTGTGATTGAGTGGTTGCGTGTTTGTTGTTGTTGCTTGCTTGCTTGCTAGCTTGTTTGTTTGTCTGTATGATTGTGTCTTTTCTTAGTTATTTGGTTGCTGTGTGTTTGTTTGTTTGTTTGTTTGTTTGTTTGTTCGTTTGCATGTTTGTTTGTGTTTGTTTGTTTGTGTGCTTGTGTGTGTGTTGTTTGCTTGTTTGTTTGTTTGTTTGCTTGCTTGCTTGCTTGTTTGTTTGTGTGTTTGTTTGCTTGCTTGTTTGTTTGTTTACTTGCTTGCTTGATTGGTTGGTTGGTTGATGGATTGATTGATTGATGGATTGATTGATTCATTGATTCATTGATTGATTGATCGATCGATTGATTGATTGGTTGGGCTTTTGTTTGTCTATTTATTTGTTTGCTCCACTGCCTGCTTGATTTTTGTTTGCTTGCTTTCTTGCTTGCTTGCGGATTGTTGTTTGCTTGAGCTTTTCTTTGTGTGGCTGGTTGGTCGTGTGTTTGCACGTTTGTGTGCTTGCACGTTTTGTGTTAGAGCGCTTGCGTGTTCGTGTTTGCTGCCTGCTTGCTTGCTTGCTTGCTTGCTTGCTTGCTTGCTTGCTTGCTTGCTTGCTTGCTTGCTTGCTTGCTTGCTTGCTTGTTTGTTTCTTCTTTGGTTGGTTGGCTGGCTGGTTGGTTGGTTGGTTGGTCGGTTGGTTGGTTGGTGGGTTGGTTGCTTGGCCGGCCGGCCGGCCGGCTGGCTGGCTGGCTGGTTGGTTGATTGGGTTCCGGGCGCTTGCTTGTTGGTTTATTTGCTTGCTTTTTTTTGCGCAGGGTGCTTGCGTTGTGGTCGCAACTAACGTGTGTCTATTTTACAGGGCCACCCGCCGTCTAGTGACATGCTTTTGGTTTGCTATTGGTTTCCACTCTCTTCCTTGAAAATGTCTTCCAAACTCGCTGCCTCCTGCTTGAAAACGATAAGCTGAAAAGAAAAGAAGCCGGCAAAGTGAGCTTCAATAATAAGTGGATAATTACCGCTTCCTGTCCATTGCATTGGCTTAGTGGGTGCAACTCCACAGCATTTCCTGACTCACTCAACGCCCCGGAGAGAAAACAACAACATGAGCCACAAATATTTCATGCACCAGGATTTCATCTGCTTTGCGAACAGGTAACGCACATGCGTACGCAAACGCTTCAACAAATTGCAGCCGAGCGGTTCTTTGCAAAACGCACATCAAGGATACGAGCTCCGAATTGAAGGAACATGCGAGGAGACCGCGTAATCCACCACACGACTCACTAACTCACTAGCACGTTGGGCGTTCCTCCCTGAAGCAAACATTTTATCCGGAACTCCGAAAGCGTCAAGTGTGCTCTCTCACAAGATGTCCCATGTGACTCTAGTCATAGCGCCGTTCACTGCTATGCCAAGAAGCTGGACTTGGCAACCAAGGGGTCCAAGGGGTACTCTGGAGTCGCTTCCTCCCAGTACCAGTCATCCACTTCCTGGGCCAAGATGCTGCGAGTGAAGGCCGACCGGCTTGCCCAGTTTGGGGCCCATCGCTTGGCGAGAACCTGCACTTTCTAGGCTGTAAGCTGTAAGGTTAGTTTCACTTTGTTATCAAAGCAAAGGACAGCATGCCACGGCAGTGACTGCGATCCAGAACCCAGAATTTGGCACAAAGAAAGCTTTGCAACGACTTTGGGGAGGACAGGCTGACACTGCAAAGCGACAGCGAGGATTCCCCCTTTCTTGGTTGACGTTAAAAGGAGAGCAAAAATTTAGATTTTAGCAGCTAAGTGGTTGGATTCCAACCACTAAACCACAATAAGCCAAAATGAAAAATGTTTCCCAACAACCACCATGCTTTCGTTGGCTAAATTGTGCATAAGAATCTGTCTGATTCGGCGCCTCTCAGCCAAATACACCGACTGATACGTCAAAATCGAATCGAAGAGTATTTCTTTCGGCTCGAGGGCAAGGAATGACAACTCTAGGTGAATTATATTATTTCACCAACCTGAAACTTGCGGTGGTTGGGGAGTGGCCCCCCACATAAACCACCATTTAGGGTGAATTCGGTCGTGTGAGGTTGTTATAATTCACCCAGACAACTAGCGTTGATTTCCTGGGTCAACTGCTGCCAAGCCTGAACCCACATGGATTTTACAGATTTGGGTGGCAGGTTTGACACTGACACCCAACCATTTTGGAACACGCCCTGGTGTTTGGAGCATACGGCTTGAGCAAGGGTTTTCATGTCCAACTTTATCTCTGAAAGCACGGGATAGGAAGTTCACCTGCACTAAGAAATACGAACATCACAACCCACGCCACCTTCCAAATGCCCCAATCCAAGCCGTCCGAGCTGTTGGTCAGAACCTCTGCGCGGACGAAGCTTCTTAGAACCACGTGAAACTCTACAACCAGACGCGGCTGCCCGGCATAGCTGGACGGTGCGTCGCTAAAATTTCCGGAGCCGGAGGTGCATAGGGCATGGGCAGCTAGGGCACTCCCTTTCGGACGGACTAGCTATATCAGCCTGCAATGTACCAACTTGGGTGAAAATCTTGTAGAAAACAATTATTGCCATGCATGGAACATCTTGCATCAGGCGATTCACGGTGTCAGCCGCGTTGTTCCCTGCTGTAGGTTCAGACGTCATTACAGCATATCCATTGACATCTTTCGGGGGCCGATGATAAGCGGCTGCTAAACTTAAGAATGATCTCCACTACCCTCAAGCCGCAACCAAGGAACAAACGGCTATGCCGCATGACCCAGTTTGCAGCCCCTTTTGGCTTGGGTGTAGTGGCTTTGGGGTGTGAAACCCAAACACACGAACAGCATGCTGGATTTCATGGCTCCAAGCGGCGGTCTCATCACTGGGGATGGCCAAAATTGGTGCCTCCTGACAAGCCAAAAGCCCAGCTGTCCAGTGACCCTGTGCGAATCTTCATAGCCAAGTTGTACCAGTAATTAGAGGCTGCTACCCCGAGTCCCAAATGGGATGATCCCAACATGTTGCCTACCATGGGCCCATAGCTGAGAACTCGTTCATAACTCCACGCGAACTTGTAGGGCCAATTGACCGCTCGTTTTTGGAATCAAGTGGTGTGAATATGCCTTGTGGCGCAAAGAGCCTGCTTGAGACACTTGTCTTGGGGTTAGCATGCCAAAGGGTCATTGTAAAAGGAAGAAACGACCGTGCTCAAGCAAACTGCGCGCTCTCTGCTTCCTTCCCACTGCGCGGCCGATTCAAGGTGAGCATTTAACCTAGTGCAAAGCATTTTCCTGTGGATGTCATAGAACCCATTGCCAATGCCCCTGGCCTGCATCTGCTCCTGATTGCCGCCTTTCAACCCAAAGGCAGATGCCCCTGCATTCCAACGAAACAAGTGCTTGCGGCTCGTGAAACCTTATGACATGCATCTGCCCGTCGGCGCATGGTGCGAACAAAGCGCGTGTCAACCCCCACCAGAACTCTTTCCTGTTTGTTCAGCTTAAGTAATCCTACCCCAAACTAGCAATGATCAAACAACGTTCGCGCCCACTAAACTACTGAGCCTCCCGGAACTCCGAAGTCCAACGGTCCGGAGCCGTCCTCCCACACGGCAGCTGGTCCTGGCGCAAACATCTTCGACGCACCGTGTGGCGCCCAATTCCCCGCGGCCGGCAGCTTTCAAGGCAACGCGAGCGGGCAGGATCCAGCAAAGAGCTAGCGGCAGGAAAGGCATGCACGTTCGGCAACGCACACGAACAAACGTATGACAAGTGGAAACGCGGCCCAAGCCCAACACACGAGCCCCAAAAGATGCGATTCGTGGGCCGGGCGCAATGTGAGCCCAGTGCAAAGTGGGACCACAGGGGGGTGGGTCAAGCCCTGCTTGTTGCCGAAAAGCCAAAAAACGCAAAGCGCAGTTCTGCGCCGCCGCTCTGTGGTAGCAAAGAATCCCAAAGCTGAAGTGTGTTGCAAACGCGACAATGTGGGATAACTGCTTGGGGAGTAACTAGCATATGATGTGGCATCCTGTGGCTATTGGAGAAGGGCATTGGCATTCACAAGTGCTGCGCTGCACAAATCAAACATGCTAAGCCGTATGCACAGGGCCCTCAGCATTGCCACAAACAGGTTCCCCCGCCCACCCCCTCTCACCACCATACCATCCAAACTACTAGGCAGTTGCAGCCGCACATGCGAAAGCAGGCTAGCTTGCTTCAACCCGTCAATGCAGTGAGGCCTGGCACGTTCAGCCTAGGCCCCTGCCTGGAAGCGCTTCCCAAAGCGTCACCAACTCCACCTGGCCCGATGGATTGCAACTCCCTTTCTCAAGCCGTCCGCGAAGGACTTAAAACAACTTGTGAAATGACATCTTGATCCCCAGCGAGACACAACAACCATGCCCTGAGGGCGAATGGTTGCTGGTGCAGTGAAAAGGCTACCAATGCCTGACAGCTTGCTCTCATTGATTGTCCGTTGTTAGCCATTTTGTCGAATCAAATGGTTCTCAGATTCCCTCGACAAGCCGTGGATCTGACAATCCCGACTTGAGGCCCACGTCAAAAACACCTCACCCCCCCCTGCAGCCTCCAAGATCCATCTCCACGGCTACACCCAACAGGTGCCCTTACGCCCCTTTGTCCTCTGCGCTCGGCTCGTCGCTTGCCCACAACTTTACAACTGCTGCGGTGTCACGCTAGGCACGTCTCGCGAGCCGAAGGTCGAGCCAAAGGCTTCAGAGGCGCTGTACATCTGAAAACCGGCCTGGGGCACTCAGGCCCTGGCTCACACGCAAGTCTCTCTACAGATGCGCAAATCAAAGACCACAGCTGTACAAGGCCTGTCTCAAATTCGATCATGCCCGCAACTCATGAGTCGATCTGCTCATCGAGCTTATGGCTGCGGCGAGGCGGATCTATCTCTACGTCCTCGCGTGAGGTCCGCAGCCACATCCTGCAACGCCAAGTGATGCCCAGTGGCCGAAACATGTGGGGGGGCACTCCATCTGGGGCGCGTCTCTGTTAGGTCACGAAACGCGACAAAACAACACAACATGAAACAAGCAAAACTTAGACACAAGACTACACGACCACGGCACGCCACACGAGACCACAGCCACGCCGCAGCCAAAAAAAAGGGACGACACACGCTGCGGTCCTCTACACCATGAGCTTCATCAAAGCCATCTGCCAGCCCGCGTAGTTCTGCCGCGATCCCAGGGGAAAGGGCTGCTTCTGGACCTGACAGCCGCTTCTGGTCGGCCGGGCAGAAGGGTTTCAGATTGATTTTAGGTTTTGGACCGTTGGCATAGATGTCCACGTTGATTGGTCTTGCAGGCAATCAAAATAGCCGGAAGACAAGCTCTGAGCAGCCTCATATGCAGCTACCAAACACTGTGTTTGCCTGCACTTAGAACCTGAAACGGTGCAAAGGAGGAGGAAGCCTTCTCAAGGGGGCCAACCAACAAAGCAGTAGGCACTGCTTGCCCAACGACATGTTCGTGTGTCAAGCGGCACTGATCTGGCGGTTAGATTTGCAGGGAAGTGCGGCCAACAACAAAATTATGAGCTCCTGGGTGTTGCCCCCCCCCCCCCCCACTTACAGAGAGGTGGCCTTCATGTGGATGACGATGCTGCCATCTGCGGCTTGCTCCTTCTTGTAGCTGGCCTCGCCCAAGTCGAGCCACTCCTTCTTTGTGGGCTTGTAAGTGTCAAAGAGCAGATCCAACATGGGCTTGTTGAAGCCAAAGTTCACCTCAGCCGACACCCGCCCTCCGATCAGCGCTCCAAGAGTTGCCAGGGGCCAAAACGAATGTAAGCTTCAGGGAAGCGAGCCGCCATAGCTGTCCTTTTAGGGAAAATAGATGGCCCTGGTAGATGAACTTCAACCACCAGCTAAACCAGGAATCGCCATTTATTTTGACCGAAACAACCAAAAAGGACACCTATGCGGGGCCAAACGGAACCCGCTGCCATGCGTGGAAATTGGCCAAAACGAATGTAAGCTTCAGGGAAGCGAGCTAGCCCTTACTGTAAAAGGCCGCGTGACATAGCATGACATAGCCCTAGGCAGGAGGACAACAAACCCCGCACCTCGCCAAACCGAACAAACATCGCCGCCAATGAGGTTCCGCTGTGATATTCCAAGCTAGATGTGCGTGGAATCTTGCACAAAGCTGCGCCGACCCTGCCCCTTTTGAAACAGGCACATGTTCATGGGGCAATGCTGCAAACAAAAAACAAAAAACACGGCCTTCGTGTATATAAGTGTGCAGGTATGGGCTGTTTGCTTACAGGACCTCAAACAGCATGGGTTATAGATTCCGCTGAGTGCGCGCGAGGCGCTCTCATACCGTTCCAACAGCTTCTATATTTGCATGATTTTGCATGCAAACGTTAACCAGTTGCCCGAAGGCCTGGCAAATTAATCCACTCGCGCAGGCACTTGGAGTGCCAAAAAGGCAGAACCACCCTTTCAAGAATCCAATGGACCAATCGATCTGCCAAGCAACAAAGAAGGAATCAGGAAAAGTCACACGAGAGTCCTTTGCCCGTGGCAAAGCTGTGACACTCAATGAGCCAATCTTTTGCGCGCCGGAGATCTAACCAGTTTAACCCACACAACCTCCTCAAGCCGCTGCATTTTGCTTTCGGTGCCCCTTTTGCCGCGCGGCCCGATGGTAAAGGTGATGATCCGGATGGTACTGCTCGTGCTGGTACGAGGCGTCCCGGCGCTGGTGGGCGTCCTTGTTGAGCCGCTGGTGCTTGAGGAGCCGGTAGGTCATCCAGGGCGCAGGCAGCCCAGCGTAGCGCACCAGCAGCACATCCTAGAGTCAGCGCGGGGCACACGCCAAAGAGGCGTGGAGGGACCCTTGGAAGACCGCTGTGCCACAATCACGTCTTGCTAAAAAGACGCTTCCATCCCAACTGTCATGAGTTCCGGCGATGTCTCAAAACTTCTCATACTGCAAAGCCAGACCATAGTTGTCATGAACTACTTGAACAACCTGTGACATGCCCTATGCAAAGCAATTTTTGCAACCTATGGCACAAAGGATGCCCGGCCCAAAGGCAGCCTTCGTCACTTGGTTGCTTTCTGCTCCCCTGCTAAAAGTTTAACTTTTGGTGGTTTAATGGAAAACCCATTGGTTGGCAAAAAGTTAAAGTCAGCAGTTAAAGTCCTAACATCCAAGCAAAATGCACCAAAGGTCAGACCATCAGTCCTGCAGCAAGTAGAAGAAGTCTTCTGGGAACCCCGCGCCCGAGAAGATGTGGGAGTCCCAGGCGGTGCCATCGGGCAGGTAGTGGTGGATGCGGTGCGCGTGCTCGTAGACCACCGGCAGGTGCTCCATGCCTCCGGTGCCGGAGCGGCGCGTTTTTTCTTCTTTCTTTTTCTTTTTCGAGCGGCGCGGGGCCCGGCCACGAAGGAAACCCGCATAAAGTGATGAAAAAGGAACACAATGCGGATGCATATACCTATATATATATATGTATATATATATATATATTGGGGGGGATTGATTGAAATATAGGCAATGGGGGATGTGAGGCGGATGAAGGGGATATGGAGGATATGGGGGATACCAAGGGGGGGATAGCGGAAACAAAAAACTGAGCAGCAACAAATAAAATGGTGGGGACATAGGAGGGATGCCACCTGCGATGCTGCGATAGGGTGCGAGGCACGTGCGATCAGGCTGACTGCAGGTGAGATGGTCATGAGCTATTGCACACATGAAGCAAAAGCAATTGGTTGCCAAGCAGCAAGCAAATTCAGAGCACGGAAGTGGGGCAAAAGCAACAACTGTTTGGCAATGAGGCGTTTCCTGAGACTGGGGATCGCTCCCTTCTTTGGATTGCCAAGAGTCCAAAAGCAACATGATCCTAGAACATCCCCAAGGTGTCTGATCTCGATCGCCACTGCTCTTAATTCCAAGGAACGGTGAATATGATAGAACATGGTCTCCCAGGAGAGGAAGCTATCCTGGATGAAGTTGTTCACCTGCAGCCGGCAACTGTACTGCAACCCTGCCAAGTCATATGCTGGAAGCCGAAGCCCTGGACAAAGTTCCCAATCATGCAGGTTGTATTCCGGCAATTGGCACGTGGAAGTGTTCGTTTGTCCCTGTTGCATTTCTGAGCCTCACCTCTCAGCCCCTCAGCCGAGCTTGTACACACTCCATTCCACCTCCAAACTGCGCCTTGTGCGTCAAAGGCACTCTTCAACAACAACTCGTCTTAAGGACAAAACCACAGCGGTCGGCAGCTTGATAGAAAAGAAGTTGCTTCATAGAGGTCTTAGTGGCAAAGTTTATTCTGCCCAGCATTGCAAATGCGTTTTGCAAAGGCCCAAAACGGCGAGAAGGAAGGTTCTGAGTGGGCGAGCTTCTGCAAAGGGGACTGGCCTTCTTAGCGGCTCTGAGAAGCGCCCTCTGGCGTTTTGCAAAGGTGATTTTAGACGCAGCTTCTGCACTCATAGGCCAGTGTCTTTGGAACGCCTGCATGTTGAATCACGAGGGTCTGTTTCAGTCCATGGAACACTCTTGCCGAAAGAAGCCAGGCCCGCAAGTGCGGAAGTTTGAATGGCGGTCGATCCGGGAGCGCAAGCGCTGACGCCTTGTCTTCACATGGCTGTGGGTCCAAAAATAGGGTAACCCCGAAATGGAACCCTGGTAAATGGAAGATCACGGACCAAAGCCTGCAGTTTCTGGTGGTTTCATTTTGACCCACATCGGAACAGCTTTGGGTCTAAAATATCTACCAAGACAAGCCCGCCCAACTGAAATGACTGAGGCTTTCCTGGTCTGAGCTATTCAACTTACCTTCCAGCAGATTAACATGTGGAGAAAAAAAAACAAAAGGGCGCGTCCCAAGCGGTTCCAAGCATGATGGTTCTGCAGAGGGGCACAGCTTTGGCGTTGTCTTTATATGGGCATCTTCCTCGGCCGAGCCACCCAGGGAGAAATTCCCAGGAGGGCGTCTGCGGCAATCCAAGTGAGGCCTGGCATCCAAGTGATTCCATGACTGCAAGGTTGGCCCAGTCTCTCCAGAAAACAGATTGAATCGCTCCGAGTGGCGAACTACGATTGGATGCATAGGCAGCTGCTCGAATCCAATTCAGAAAAATCAGGCCGGCCATACCATCCGTGACAAAATATGTAGAGTACACTCTTGATCGATTCACTAGATATTGTTAGTTGGCCCTGTCGACTTCGGCTTGAGCCACACTCCTGTACGCCAAGCTGCTGATCTTGCAGCCCCTGGAGATCAGCAAAAGCAGCAGCACATAGCCGCGGCCGTTGAAGGTGCCATAAATCCTAGGCAGCCCAACCGAGGTCTTTCAAAGATAAGCCTCGAACAAACTCACCATTTTGAGGGTTCTTTGTGTGGCCGGTCACACCCGCGCCTCATTGAGTGATACAGTGATGGTTAAGGCGCAAATCTTTTCCTGGCCCGGCAAACCCGCAAACCAAACACAATGGCCAAAGGCACTGACATCGCCACGCCGTCTTCGAATCATCCCAAGCCGGAATGCCCAATTTTCAGAGACGACAGTTTTGGACAATGGGAAATCCCAGATTGCATGAAGAGGCGAAACTTGCTCATTTTCAGTGACCCCCCACCAACCACGCCGCTTTTTTCTTCGATTTTCTTTGAGAGCCAGGAGCAAGAACACAGGTGTCTGTGGGTAAAAAATAGGTACCCATGTTTTTTCTTCTGGTAAACGGAAACAAGGACTCAAACCTGTGGTCCAATTCCTGGTGGTTTAATTTTGACCCGTAGGTCGCTCTGCCTGTGGGGTGGGAAGGTTGGGGCCTTTGGCTGCCAATCCGCATGTGCCGCAGGCTTTGGCCCACCGAACTCCTCTTGGGAGTTCCGTCGCTGCACGCCACCAGCCTCAGCCCACTTATGTTTTAAGTTTGCTTTAGGAATATTCATGGGCATATATTGTAGAAATGGTCTATTATCTATAAATGTTGTTGTTCTTTTTCTTTTTGTTCAAGATATATGACATACATTATCTGAATCTGTACACATATCTATATATATATGTGTGTATATGGCAATTGTTTAATACACATATAAATCCGAGTCTGAGATCACAAACTTGGAGAGGAGACTGGGGCAAAATTGGGAACTTGGGGGCTTCCTGATGGGTTCTCAAGCAAGCCCACCTTTTTAAAAAATGGGCTGCTATTTGCCCAAGTGGCTGGTTGACTGGAGAAGGGTTCAGCAGCCGTGTTCGTCATTGCTTGACAAATCGGAGGTTAGAAGATGTGTTAGCCCGTGCTGCCCAAGTATGGCTCATGTGCAACTTGATGCATGTTTGCCACCTGCCAAATTAACAATATGGGTTTGCGGAGCGTCCTCTCAAATCCATTTCTTGGCCAGGTCGCGCGTAGTAGCCTCGCTTGCCAAATAGAAACAAACAGCGACAGTTCCAGGTTTGGGCCCATGACGAAACATGGTCGCCAAAGCTCAAAACCAAAAGGCCGAACATGATCGAAAGCAAATACCCTCTCTCCAACTAACATAATTAGCAGCTCACAGGGGGCCGCTTCAAGAGGAAATTGATCTTCCAGGTACCCTCACGCAGGTGCCACTAACAATACCCGCTTTTTTCAGGGTATTTTTGGGAAAACCTGGTTTACCATGGTAAATACCTCCCTTTTGAGTACAGGGTCGACCTGATACCCTGAAAAAAGCGGGTAGTTGGAGTGAAAAGGGGAAACAGTTTCCCGTCTGGGCCCAAGAACCAGCAGCTGAGGCAGCTGAGGTACTGGTCACCAGGAAGTCCAAGGCCATAAAGACGGCGATGGAGGTGTTGCTGATTTCCAGCTCGAGATTCGGCAGCCATGACAGCGGCAGGAAGTGAAGAACCAACGCAGAAACCAGGTGGCTGGCGCACATCTGGTAGAAAAACATGATAAACAACCTCGGGCTGCCCAAGTCTCGCAAAAGCCGCTGGAGATGAAAGCCAAACATTGTAGTCCAAGTTGAAACAACATGTGTTGCCATTTCGCGTGTCCAAAGGCTTGCGACCGAGCTGACCTGCCCGAAGCAGTGGCTCAAAATGAAGGCGCAACAATCAAACGCTGGATCATACTGCCGAGGGGTTGGTCTCTGTTTGCGCCATTTGAATTTGGGACTTCTGAGGACAAGTGATTGCCAAAATGTCAAACAAACACAGTGAGGAAGTAAGATTGGCTAGCCAGGCATTACCAATGGCCACCCAAAGAGGCAGGCCTGAAAAAAAAAAACATTTATCAACAATTGCGGATGTTAGCATCCAGCTAACACAGGACGAGAGGCATAAAGGACACTGCGAGCGAGTAGGGAGCCACCAGGAATTGCAGGGAGCCGGCCAGCCAGAACAGTCGGATGTCGGCGCTCATGGCCGCCACAGCAATCCACAACACCTGGAATGGAGAGGGGGGGGGGGGGGGGTAAAAACTAGGCCATCTCTGTTTTGGGAATAGAAAGGCATGGGGGGCGAGGGGTTAAAACCTAGGCCACTTTTTTTTGGGAAGAGAAAGGCGGCCTGGAATAAAGCCAACCAATTCGAACGTCTACGCATGCTCCTGAGATTGGAGATCTAACATGAGTTGCAACAGGAGAACAAGAGGACAAGAGAACCCAAAGGCCCGACAGTATAGTGGATCCCGATTCAGGACTCATGCTGAGATTGCCCTTCGTGCTAAACGCCTGCGTAAATCTCATTATCTTTCGGCTCGACCTTGGGGTAACTCAGACATGCGCGCATGAAATTTCAGGCTTCAGGCGTGTCCAAGCGCTGACTTAAATCATTTGGCGCTTCTTAGAATTGACTTCAGGTGGCCGGACCAGGTTCCTGAGATGTCCCCTTTGAACCTCACCACACCAGAAGGAAACCACTTTTGATATGGCACACTGTTTAAACAAAATCAGCCAAGGATATATTGCCATGGGTCAAAATCCCGTAATTCCCCGCAGCGAACATCTCAATCTCTAAAATGGGTGGTGCACCTACCCCAAAATGGGACGCCCTTGGCTTTGACCCACAGTCATGTAAGCACACTTGGCCAACAACCGCACCAATGGCCCAACACCAGGGCGCGCGCTGCAGCACCAGCATGGTGTGCGTGGAGATCCGTTTGTACTCTGCGGGGCTCTTCTCGCGGATCAAGGCGCCTATGGCCTGAATCTTCTGCTCGTACTCCTGGAGACAACACAACCCACCCCCTCTTTCCCCTGTCTCACTTGCCCAGTTCGGACCCAGAAATAAGATAACCGTTTGGGGCCATGACTAAGAGTGGACCAAAACTGGAAAACCAAAAGGTTGAAAGGTCGGCTTTGGACTGAGCTTTTCCTCTGAGGGTTTTGGGAATACCTGGGAGTACACCCTTGGGAAGTGACCCCGAATGGTTCAAAATAACACGGTGTTATCCGGACATGTGCATAAATGGGGTCAATACCCAGTGGGTGCATTCCCAGGGTGCAATACAAACAAAGCCCTTAGATTTCCTCTTTCAGTTGGCTCCGAGTCACTCAGACATGCCATCAATGCTGAATTCAGAAGAAAACGGGGGAATGCATCTGAAGCAGTTCATCCACCCCCTCCCGGAGGGAAAATGCAAGACTGGAGTTCTCAGGTCTCCTTCTGCCAAGTTCTAAGCCTAGAATCGTGACGCGGCGAGAAAACACGGGTAAAATAAATGCTTTGAAGAAATCCCAAACATGCTAGTGATCCAGTATCAAAACTTCAACTTTCAAGAAGTTGGCCTTGATGAAACTTCCTGAGCCACTTGGCTGAGCATGGGGGGTGCCAGCAACTGACGTGGACTTCTGCCACTGAAAGGTTGTTAGGGATGTTGGAATAAATCCGACGTAAACCAACCCAAACACACACTGAATTACAAACATGACTGTCATACTGACCAACTGACATTGGCAAGGGCGTCCTTACTAGGTTGTATTGAGATTGAAATAGGGCATCACCTGTGGAAAAACAACTAACGCGCCTGCAACCCACCTGCAACCCACCTGCAACCCCATACAAGCATAGCTACCTTCAGCGATAAACAGCCGCTTCCAATCACATTGATTTCGCAGGTCGCTCAGATGCAGGTGTGCTCGGGCAACACTATCACAAACATCAAGGCTTGAATCCTCGACCAAGACTCAGTTGCCCAAAAGACCCAGAAATAAAGGTTAACCTTTTGCACCCATGACCAAAAATGGACCAAAACTGGAAAACCAAAAGGTTAAAAGGTCGGCTTTGGGCAACTGAGAAGAGAATGAACATGAGTCATGTCTGCTCGATGTTCGATCAAGTTCGGTAGCAAACACCCTGCGACCGGGAGGGAAGCTGCCTCTCCTTCCGAACCTCAGGCGAGACCGTGATGACGGCATCCTCGCCTGACGGGTTGGCACAAAGATCGAACTAGGGGCTCGCCTTTCAGACACACTGACACACTGCTTAAAGCGGGAAAAAATGAGAACAAAAAGAGAAACAACACTTGCTGAGGCGTTTGCAGCTGCAACATCCTCAAAACATCCCCCAGAAGTCACATAAAAGCCCACTCAAGATGCCCAATAGGGATAGCACACCACACAAGGGTGTGTCTCCAAATGAGGACATCCCCCCAAAATGAATGGTTTTCCCCTTCACTTCCTTTAAAGCCAACACACACACACACACACACTGACCAACGCACAAGTGTAACGAGCCGGGCTCAAGTCACCTGCTTGAACCAACTCCGCGTGGCCGAGGCTCCCTTGAGACCATCTACCTCATGACCTCGTGATGTGAATTCCCCAGGCCCAGCACCAAGTTGGGGCTCGGTTTCCCAGTAAAAACCAACTGGACAAAGTCACGAACAAAGAGAGGGGGCGTGTGCTTCATTGCCAAGAACTGATGTTTTTTTTGCATTTCTTCGCCAGGTAGGGAGGCTCCGACAGACTAAGGCGCGACTTCCAAACGGCAAGAACCCCCCCCTTTTTCCGCGCTTCCAAGGCGCTGGAGGTCCAAAGCTCATGGGGCAACTTCCTCAAGGTGCAGAGCCCCGAGACAAAGCAGCGCAGCAGCGCCACGTTGATCTCAAGGAAGGCCAACGCCTCAACGTGGGCCCTTCCGCTGGGCAGTTCCCAGTGAGCTCTCTTTCCCTTTGGGGTGTTTCTGCCCGAGTTGCAAAAAGGATCCCTGGAAAGAGGAGCAAAGCTACAAATGTGTTGGGCTTTATGTAAGCCACTGCCTAGTTGCTAGGAAGGTTAAAAGGGATGTCCAAGTCACTTGACGCCAACCTCGTGGGTGAGCTTCAGTATGAATGACTGGCTTCATCCAGGATGATACTACCAAGGAATTTGTTCTGATATTCGGCACCTGCCCTGTGCATGAAGTCGCACGCCTCACACATGTAAATACCTGTTGTCCACGCAAGCTTAACCCTTTGGGCAACACATCGTGCTGAGAGGGGTGGCACTATCAGCTCCTACGGTGAAATTGAAGACATCCTCTTGAGTAACAGAAAAAGAGGTATCTGCCGCCGATCACCGGGCGAAAAACTGACAGGACTAACTGGACCTCCAAGGAGCCAAACTTCTCGCGTGACAGCTCAAACCTGGCAGCTATTGCAAACTGGCCCCCTCTGATGCCTGGCACTGACATTCACTGGTAAAGCTGCGCGGGCCAAACAACCAAACCGTCAGCCCAGATCACTTGCAACAGGGTGAGCTGACAAGTAAATAAGGCACGACTGAACTTTCAAGGCCCTGCAAGCGATAGCGACACGCCCTCTTCTGAACCCGCCCTTAAACGTCCAGTGCGCAGCGGGCTGCAGCCAGCACGAAAAGTGGGTGAATGTTGGCAGCGCGGGAAAATTTGAAGCAACAACGTCTTTGCGCAATGCCCGCCCCATGCCCACGCTACTGCATCCTGGAGGCAGTCATGGCACGGGGACGGAAAGCTACGTCTCGAGCCGAAACATGTGCCTGAAGGCGCCTCTCAATCAGAAACATGTGTGCTATTTACACGTACTGTGGACAAATGGAGCCATCCACCCCTGAGCCAGCATTGACATCAGTGCGTGGCAGCGCTTGCTACAGCTTGACAGTTTGATAAGTCGCCGAGGGATACCCCGGACCATCCCTCATCAATTCGGTCGCTTGCCGAATCAACTCGCCCAGAATGCGCCCGAAAACGCACCGCAAAATGCGAAGCGTCGCGTGCATCTCCTTCCAAGCGTGTTCGTTCGATCACAGCTACATTGGCGGATTGATGAAACAGAGAGCATCTTGAGTGCGAAGCTGGTTTGGCAGCCATGGCAAGTCTTTCACCCTGGAAATCTGTTGTTCACAATGCTTCCAGCCATCCAACACCTTCTGCGGGACAAGTGCCGCTGACGGGAAACGCACCCATCCCAAGCGCCACTCACCGGGAGGCATCGGTGTAGATGCGGTGAGAAGGGCACAAACTCAAACCTGAGACACTCATCGCCTTCTGACAAAGACAGCAAAAGAGGGCAAACACACCGCGCAGCGTGGCCGAAGCAGCGCGAAAAAATCCACTGTATGTCACCGCGTATCTTGCCACCCTCAATGCGCACTGGCGCTCTTGCCAACCTTTCACGCGGTGGATTGTATGGGCTGAAGGCGTAGAAGTGCAGCATTCGCGGCTTTGCCTATGCGCAAGGATGCGCCCAGATAGGTCCTGCCGTGGCCAAAACCTCCTGCCACTTGCCTACAGAGCTGCCGAGTCCATAGCCGCATAGCAAGCCGAAGCGCCAGCCGTGCATAACGTGCACTGCAACCACAGATAGAAGCAAATGGTCCCGGTCGGGCAATCCCCGGCAAGCATCATCAGGCACATCATCAGTGCCGATTCGCAGATCAAGCAAATGCTTGAGCGTCGTTGAGGCGCCGTTTCTTGGTTGACGTTGGAAGGGGAGCCAGAAGAAAAAAAATCAATTAGCAGCTCAGTGGTTGAATTTCAACCACTAAACCGCAACAAGCAACAATGAAGACATGTTTCCCAACAACCAGCCTGGTTTAGCTTTGTTTCGCAAGCCCGTGACGTCCTGGGCTGAGACCCCACTCGCCATTGGCTTCCGGCCCTCGGGCTCATGGCGGCGCCGTTGGAGGGTCGGCACCCCATGTGGACCGGCAGCGTTGACTCGCGTCAGCCGAACCAAGAAATGGTTTCCAGCTGGGTGCTCGCACTTAAGGACTTCACCGGCGCCAACTGAGCTGTGTGGATACCGTGTTCATCTCTGGCTTGCAGTGGGCAAGAAGCGCTACCACTCGCAATGCTGCCGCGGAAAGGCAGCAACATACCCACGCACGTCCTCAGCTTTGTTGACATGAACAGTGCTAGGCATGACTGCCAGAACCGACACGACTGAAGTGATGCGTTGTGCTCAGCAAGCGCAAGAACAGCCGCGATCCCACCCCTTCCAAATTAATATGTCATGGAACGAACTTTCGACACAGCCCAGGTGCTGTGGAGCGCCGTAGCGACCATGACCACCCATCAAGCTTGCAGCGTTGGCTGGTGGAAAAGCTATTGCCGTGATGCGACCCCCGGCTGCCCGGATACAGGTGCCCTGATGCCCATTTGCCCTCCACGCTCGGCTCGCGAGGGCCTCCGCGCTCCGCTCGCGAGGGCCGAGGCAAATGGCACTTTGCGGAGAAGCTGTACATCTGAAGAGTGGCCAGGATCTCTAAACAGGACCGCCCGAGTGTCCAATGTGTACGTGGGTGAGATTCTGCACGCACGCGCGCATCAAAGACATCAGCTGTACAAGGCCTACTCTGTGTCAAAACTTGTTCATGGCCTCAACCCATAAGTCGATCATCTGGTCGAGCTTAGGGTCTCCGTGTCCCGGTCCAACATCCTGCGACGGGGGCGCTCCGCCCATCAGCCTTGGAGTGCAAGAATGCGTTCGGTCAGCCTGTCGACACGCCTTTCCGGCCTCTACACCATGAGCCTCATCAAAGCCATCTGCCAGCCCGCATAGTTCTGACGCGATGCCAGGGGAAAGGGCCGCTTCTGGACCTGAAAGCCAGGCCGGCTGCCTAACGGGCCTACAGTTTGAGATTGATTTTAGGTAAGTCTAGGTCTGCTCATTGCACCTAGGACCTGAAAAAGGCGCAAGAGACTATTTATGACATGTTGTCCCTCGCATAGATGAAGAAGACACATACGGTAAGGCGTGCCTTGTGCGCAGTGGTCAACTGTTTTTGTTCCTTCTTCAAAGGCCCCAACACTACTAGGGGCCAACCAAGCAAGCAGTGAAAACTGCCGGATAAGGGCTGGACAACGTGCTTTTCCTCCCGCCCCACTTACAAAGAGGTCGCCTTCATGTGGAGGATGATGCTGCCATCTGCGCCCTGCTCCTTCAGGGTTGCACTTTCCGGGGGGAAGAGTGCCTTGCCCAAAGACCAAGACCCTGGCTGTCCGTTGCGCAAAGTGCTGAAACTCGCGAAGCCATCATGCCCAACATGCACATCAATTTCTGAGCGCCGGCTGGTGCCACAAGACCCTGTCACAAGGATGGGAGCTTGCCAGCTTGCCCCCAGAAATGAGAAAGGACACACACGGGAACCGGCACCAACTCTCTACCCTTGTGGTTGGTCATTGTTGTGAGGCTTGGAGCCACGCCGTCCTTCTTGTAGCTGGCGTCTCCGAAGTCGAGCCACTCCTTCTTAGTGGGCTTGAAAGTGTCGAAGACCAGGTCCAACATGGGCTTGTTCAAGCCAAAGTTTGCCTCGTTCAGGCAACCAGCCAGCAATGGGGGAGGGGTGCTTTTCTGACTGGGGAAGCATCATGAACCCTCCCTGATGCGGTTGCCTACAAGGGCCAAAAGGAAGCGCTGCCATCTGCGGACTGACCTAAATGCATCTATCTAGAATGCATGGGAGCAACTTCCGCTGCCAAGTCTACATGTCATTGAGTTGCCAACATGGACGTCTGGGATGCCACGACGACCCATCCAAGCGCACAAACTGAATGTCGCGAAGAGGTCTACGCTGCCAATCTGAACAAGCTGCCCAGCGAGAAAGGGAATCAAAGAAACAACAATCACGGTAGACCTTTGCCTGTGTGCCATGATGCTCGGTGGATCACCCCGGACCCACTAGAATTTTTGTTGGAAGCCGCCCAGCCCATGACCCCCTTCCGGGCTGGCCCGGTGGTAGAGGTGATGATCTTGATGGTATTGCTCGTGCTCGCACGAGGCGTCCCGGCGCTGGTGCCCGTCCTTGTTGGCCCTCTGGAATTTGAGGAGCCGGTAGGTCATCCAGGGCGCAGGCAGCCCAGCGTAGCGCACCAGCAAGACATCCTGAGAGGTTTTTTTTTTGCCCCCTTTTTTTATCGGCAGGTGTTGATTGCTAGGATTGTCTGGAACGCACAACTCGCATGCCTCGTGTACTCTTTAAGTGTTTGTGCCTGCGCCGCAATGCGCCGCAATGTGCGCAGCTTGCAATATTATTGGAGCCGTTGCGTGACTCAGACCATGCCGGGAGCTGACTTGCAACGATGGACTTGACACTGTTCAGGTCAATTCGTACTCCTGCGCCGATGTTTCGGAACAATAGCAGGCAGCGTGACTTCGCAAAGCCCGCTCGAAGTTCCACAGAAGTCAATGGCTGGTAGCGCAACCCACACGGGATAACTATGCCAGCAAAGCTCCTGCTCATGGGCCTTCACTCCGAACCACCATGCTTGAGCATTGCTTCTCTGTTGCCCGGCTGGCCCCATGAGTCCTGCAGCAAGTAGAAGAAGTCTTCCGGAAACCCCGCGCCCGAGAAGATGTGGGAGTCCCAGGCGGTGCCGTCGGGCAGAAAGTGGTGGATGCGATGCGCGTGCTCGTAGACCACCGGCAGGTGAGCCATGCCTCAAGCTGAGCGGGAAATGTTCACCCCATATTAATCAACTGACCAGTTGATTAGTAGGGGGGTGTCCATTTCTGGGCTTAGTGGGGAATCGATCATATACAGACAATGGCTTGTTGCGAGAGGCAGGGAATGAGTTGGACTGACCTTACAAACCATCCCTCGTGGTTTCCTTTAAGGGAACCCCTGGGTTCATTCCCTCATTCCCTACCGAGCACCTGCAAGATGGGGGATATGGGGGATAGCAAAAAAAAAACAAATAAAATAGAGGAGAGTGGAGGACTGGGGAGGGATGCCACTTGAAGCCCGAGGCTAGGTGAGATGGGCATGGGCTACTGTACACATGAAGGAATTGCTTGCCAAGCAAACTCAGAGCAGGGGAGAAAGCCAAACGCAACAGTCGTTTGGCAGAATTATGTCCATGCGCAATGAGGCGTTTGTTGGTGGGACTGGGTTGTGCTAGGGGTCCAAAAGGAACTAGTCTTAGGGTCCCACTCTTGCACAACACCCAAATCGAATATCTCCCGTTGTACTTGCCGAGTAACGGTGAACATGATAGGCCATGGTCTCCCAGGAGAGTACGCTGTCCTGGATGATGTTGTTCACCTGCTCCCGAATTTCAGCCGCGGGCAACTGCACAACGGCGCCCCTGCCATTTGTGTAAAGCAAACTAAATTGCTCAAAGAGCCTCCCGGTTTCCCTTTACAGGAGACATGAAGGGAGTAGGGACTGTTTTCTTGAACAAAGTTTGCAAAACAGGCAGGCCACACGACAAAAAACAAAAACGGAAGAATGCTGGTATCCGGGCTTCTGCGCTGAGAGGCCAGTGTGCTTCAAAAAAATGCTGCAGCGTTTTGAAGCCCAAGAGCTTTCGAGCCGTCTCGCCAGAAAAATTGCAAAAAGTATTTGCTGCAGCTAGGTCAGTCCGCGGAGCTTGATGCACATGCAACGTCTTGCGTTACATGGGATGGGGCTTGGAAGACTGATGTGGCTGAGGAAGTGAACAGACCTGAGACTGGTCATAAAGACATTCGATTGCTGAGTCCATAGCCCTAAAAGCCGGACTGCTGCTGAGCTGCTGAGGGTGTCTAGACTTCCCGCAATGGGACACATTGAACCTCAAGAAAGTCAGCGTTACTCCACCTCAGTCCTATCCTAGGTCCTCCAGTAGGGAGGTTAGACTAAGGGTACCCTTTTTTCTGTAGTCTATTTTAGTAGCCGAACCCTCCCCCAAAAACGAAACGGTAAAAGGGCACTACCGGGGGACCTAGTATCTATCGTCTAACTCCATCGCCTAAAAATGGCGCGCACATCTCTTCAGTTGAGCCCTTTCACGTGGCTTTTGCCCAGCCACCCACGGAGAGACTCCCAGCAAGGCGTCCGCGGCAATCCAAGTGAGGCCTAGGTGGACGCCACGAGCCCGGCGCTGCCCAGTCACATGCGTTCAGCGGCGAGCTAATCAAACGCTTGGCAGGCAGGTTGCAACCATTGGGTTCTCTCTATCTCTCTGCCGTTGCGTCCAGGGGGTCTTGACTCAGCAAGGCAACGCAAAAGGTGCCCACTGATATTCAGGGGCACTCAAAACATACCATTCAGGCTGTCGGAAGGCGGTTCGCATCGAATTGGCGCACGGGCAACAAATTGGGTCTTCGTAAACCCAATGCATGTGACAGTGTTCACCCCATCCCTGCGGCGCCCAAAAAAGCGGAACCCGGCTCTTTCCACCTTACACCTGAGGCATCGTCGCCCAGGCCGCAAACTGGATGCCAAGCCGCTGATCTTACAGCCTCTGGAGATCAGCAGGAGCAGCAGCACATAGCCGCGGCCGTTGAAGGTGCCATAGATCCTAGGCCCAAAAAACCACGCGACACGCGAACGTGCCGTTGAAGCACCCAACCCAGAAACCCAATGGAAGTTCCAAGTGATGCCCGAACCACTGGCAGCCGCAACCATCTTCCAAGAGTCCAGGGCCCGACCGACTGCCGGCCAATACCAATTGGGTGCGGATTTATTTTGGGATTTTTTTTCGTTTTTTTTTGGATTTTTTTTTCGTTTTTCGTCCGGGCCAGCAAAATGTCGTATTTTACAGCATTTTCTCGCGAAATTGACGCATTTACACTAGCTCGTCAACATCCCCAGCATCGTTTTCAACATCCCCCGCATGTCCGACCAACATCCCTAGCATCACCAACAAATCGTGGGTAACAAAATCCAAAACTGTAGCTGGCGGGTTGACGGGGTCAAAACAATAACGATTCAAACAGGAGGGCATTTCAATCCCAGCAAAAAAATACAAAAAAACAATTAAGAAAAACAGAGCGGGGTAGTGATGATTCGAACAGGGGTGCAGTTAAATCTCTGCAAAAAGTCTAAAAAGTAGCGGGGGGGTTGGGGGGGGGCGGCAGCCCCCCCATGATGTTCGAAGAATTGATGATTCAATTAGGGGTGCAATTAATTAAATCTCTGTAGAAAATCTAAAACGTAGCGGGGGGGTTGGGGGGGGAACGGCAGCCCCCCCATGATGTCGGAAGAAGTGGTGATTCAAGTAGGGATGCAATGATTCAAGAAAGGGTGTGATAGAATTTAAAAGGCAGCGGTAAGGTTGGCGGGGGTGGCTTCCCCTATGATGTTCGAAGAAATGCATACATACAGACATACACGGACTACACAGATTACCTAAAATGTCGTATTTTGCAGCATTTTCTCGCGAAATTGGACGCTCGAAAAAGTGATAATTCAAACAGGGGTGCAATTCAATCTCTGCCGGGCCAGTAAAGTGTCGTATTTTACAGCATGTTCTCGCGAAATATACCCCGCATGTCCCACCAACATCCCTAGCATCACCCACAAATCGTGTGACGGGGTCAAAGAAATGATGATTCAAGTAGGAGGGCATGTCAATCCCTGTAAAAAAATATAAAAAGTAGCGGGGGGGTTGGGGGGGGGCGGCAGCCCCCCCCACGATGTTGTTTGCAGAAGTGATGATTTGAATAGGGGTGCAATTAAATCTCTGCAAAAAGTCTAAAAAGTAGCGGGGGGGTTGGGGGGGGGCGGCAGCCCCCCCATGATGTTCGAAGAATTGATGATTCAATTAGGGGTGCAATTAATTAAATCTCTGTAGAAAATCTAAAACGTAGCGGGGGGGCGGCAGCCCCCCCATGATGTCGGAAGAAGTGGTGATTCAAGTAGGGGTGCAATGATTCAAGAAAGGGTGTGATAGTGTTCGAAGAAATGCATACATACAGACATACACGGACTACACAGATTACCTAAAATGTCGTATTTTGCAGCATTTTCTCGTGAAATTGGACGCTCGAAAAAGTGATAATTCAAACAGGGGTGCAATTCAATCTCTGCCGGGCCAGTAAAGCCCAGGGCTTCCGGTAACTTATATGTCAGGAACCAGCTTGGTTCCCGCTATAGCAGGGTCATAGAACTTGGTTCCAGGAACCGGGCCAAACAGACTTGAAACATACCCAAAACAGTATATTTTGCGTTGCCGGGCTGTGCGAGTGGTGCATTCAGAGCCTTCAACAGGATTTTGGTGCTCAAAGCAATACATGCAATCAATGAGGAGAATCTTTTCACTAAGTTCATAGAATTGTGTTTGGGACACACAGCAATCAAATCATGTCTGGATCCCGATTGTGCCATGTGACATTGTGTTCAATGCAAAACAGGTTTGGGGGGTCAGCGGATCCGGAATAGAAACCTCGCATTAGTTTTACCATGAAGCCTGCTGGCGTGCCAGGTAATGCCTGTTAACAAGCTGTTCGTGGTGCATATCTGCCCTTTGTATGCTGGAAGAATTGTGTTACGAATTTTCTTCCTGCCATATCCACTTCTGATTGAAAACTATTTTGCATGTTGAGTAGCTTCCTTTATATGGTGGCTGCACCAACATGCTAGCAACATTTGCTAACATACCATTATTGGTGCCAACGGACACGTTCCAAATGTCACCCACGCACAAAGCAAACGTTCGTCCACGATTGCAGGACTGCAGAAATCAGTAAAGAGCGCTTTGTAGCATTTGCGCTGCGACCTCAGTTTAATTTTATCAGCAAACGCCCTGCTTCAGTATGCTAGGCACTTCCCAGGTGGAGTACTGTCGAAAGGGCTACGCGCTGACAATAGCTGTTGTATTCAAGGGCATTGAACCCCGCCAAACGCCTCACACATAAACACATCATACACTCATTACACTTCACAGCGCGTCCCAGCATCCAGCATGCAAGCTTGCACCGTCATCCTTGCTTGCATATTGTGGGACACTATAAGCAACATGTGTGGTCGGACATCCTGTCATCAACAAGCGCTCCAGGAGACTTGAATCTTGCCCACGTGGGTGAATTATACAATTGTTGTCTCAATATCAGCCATGAATATCAGGAGAAAAAAGTCACATCGGTATTTTGGCGTTTGCACATGGAGGCTCGCTCGCCACAAAGCAATATCTCTTGGCATAAGTGGTGGTCTATCCGTTTTGTGCATGGAAGTAGGTCGTGTAAATATAGGGGTAGGCGCCTTTTGAGCTGTGATTAGGTGAGCCATGTCCTAAACGTGTCGTGATTTGCTGAGTCGCATCATGTGGGTTATCGCACATAGAATGTTTTGAACCCTCTTCTGCGTCAAACCAAGACACGCACAGCATCATTCCGTGGGTGTTTCCGACTATGGTGAGCTGTGTACAGCACATCCCAGGGTGCTAAAACAAAATCCAAAACCCTACAACATCTTTAGCAACCAGAGCTGTTTAATGTCCCTTCTCAAAGTAGATGTCAATATATTGTTTGTCCAAAACAATGTTTTATTTCGGAGCAACCGTTTTATATTCGGAGGCAACACACGTTTTGGGAGCAACAGTTTTATATTCGGAGGCAACACACGTAAATGCACATAGACATGTTACTCATCGAAGTGACTCGGCAAAACATATAATAACCACAACTGCCTACAGAACACCTGCCAGAGTCACACAACACGCAACAAATCACATGCGCACACACGCCAAAAGAACCCTGCCCATACTTGCACATTGCGTAGCAAATGAGAAGCAGACCAATCAGCTAAACACACATCATAATCACACTCACGCATCACACACCAACAAACCACGCAAACCTTTCATCACCCGCCAGAATCACACACCACGCGACAAAGCATACTCAAACTCTCCAATTGGCCACAATCAAGCACCACACAATAGATGATGAACATACCTGTCAACGAGCAGCCACTTACCACACAACAAGTCAGAAACACACGCACCAACTGAGTACCCAACATCACATACCACACAACAAAATATATACTTACACCCGCCAACTGAACACCGACCACATTCACACATCACACAAATAAACCATCAGCACTACAGCCAGCTACCACACAACAAACAAACAACCCATCCGCCAGCTGAACACCCGCCAAACTAACGAACCACGCAGCGAACTCAAAATGCACGGCCACCAACTGAAGACCCGCCACAGTCGCGTGCCTACAGCGAATAAAAGCGCACACAACCTTCCGCACTCAAACACCACATAATTCATGTTCAAACACTCCCTTTGGACGAGCCCATTATTTCACACAAGTGATGAACACACCCGCTCACAAAGCGCCCGCCGCAGTCACACATTGCGTGACAAAGTAGGAACACACGCCAAGTGAGCACCCTGCACACCTACATAGCACACAACAAAATAATGAGCGGGCCAGCCACCAAAGGCACAGCGCAAAGGATGAACTGAACACGCGCCAACGCGCATCCGCCACAGTCACACACCGTGCAAAAAATGGTAAGCACACCTGCCAACAGAGCACTCGCCTCAGTCACACACAGCATTAACACATAACAAACAAACACGCTCACCAAACGCCAGCCATACTCACACGGTGTCACAAACGAGACGTCCACGCTCCAACTGAGCACCCGCTAGAGTCACCCACCAGGCAAGCAAGGGCACTGGCACCACCCAACTGAGCGCCAGCTACAGCCAAAAATGAAAAAACACACTTGCCAACTAGGCACCGGCCATGCGCATGAACCACACGGCAAACTACAAGCGCTCGGGCCAACTGAGCAGCCGCCACACCAATACACCGCACAACAAATGAGCAACGCACGCCAGCGACAAACGCTGTGGCAAGTGCTGGGGCAGGAAAACCTGCCAGCGCAAGAAGCGAAACCGGAACCGTTAAAAAGGGCCCGGAACCGTTAAATAGGGGGGTGGAACCGTTAAAAAGGGGGTGGAACCGTTAGGTAGGGACCGGAACCGTTAGAGGGAAAATCGGACCCAAATTTGGTGAAAAACTGCGTGCTCCATGACTTTCATGCGGAAAACAATGTGTTCCGTCATTTTTTCCAGCACAATGGAAATTTGGGTTGAATCCAGTGTGAATCTAGCAGCAAATAAGCGCTGCGCCCGCTAACTGAACCCCCAGCAAGCTAACCCACCACACAACATGCGCCTGAAGCTCTGATCCCCTCCCCCAAATAGTCAGGTCAACGCCGAACCCGAATGAAATTGAAAACCGATCGTCTCAAAACACGAGCCAGAACTTCCCCTCAAACGTCAAACCTCAACCCTGCGCAGGATTGTGGGCACAATGGTTGTTGTAGCCCAAATTACGAACTCAGCTGAATAACCTTAGGCTGTTGCAATTGCGCCTTGGAATTTACCTGGAAACATCAACATGTGTATGATTTCTGGCTGGTAGACGGCTTTTTTGTTGGGCGTAGCCAGCTCGCTGCTCCGAAATGTCTCTAACGGTTCCGGCCTTTTTCTATCGGTTCCGGGCCCCTACCTAACGGTTCCACCCCGCTTTTTAACGGTTCCAGGCTCCTTATTTTAACAGTTCCGGATTCGCCCTTCTTGCGCTGGCAGGTTTTCCTGCCCCAGCACTTGCCACAGCGTTTGTCGCTGGCGCGTTGCTCATTTGTTGTGCGGTGTATTGGTGTGGCGGCTGCTCAGTTGGCCCGAGTGCTTGTAATTTGCTGTGTGGTTTCATGCGCATGGCCGGTGCCTAGTTGGCAAGTGTGTTTTCTCGTTTTTGGCTGTAGCTGGCGCTCAGTTGGGTGGTGCCAGTGCCCTTGCTTGCCTGGTGAGTGACTCTAGCGGGTGCTCAGTTGGGGCGTGGGCGTGTCGTTTGTGACGTGGTGTGCAAAGGTGGCAGGTGTTTAACCTTGGCTTTCGGCTGGCGTGTTTGTTTGTTATGTGTTGATGCGGTGTGTGACTGAGGCGAGTGCTTTGTTGGCGGGGTGGTTATCATTTGGTTTCGCGGTGTATGACTGCGACGGATGCGTGTTGGCGCGTGCTCAGTTCATCCGTTGCGCGGCGCCTGAGGTGGCTGGCACGCTTATCGATTGTTGTGTGCTATGTAAGTGTGCAGGGTGCTCAGTTGGCGCGAGTTGTTCTACTTTGTCGCGTGGTGCTCACTGCGACGGCCGCTTTGTTAGCGGGTGTGTTCATCACATGTGTGAAATTATGGGTTTATTCAGAGGGCGACTTTAATATGTATACTGTTACTGTGGTGTTTGAGTGTGGCTTCTAATTTGCTCTAGGTACGCGAGTATGGCGGGTCTTGAGCTGGTGGCCGTGCATTTTGAGTTTGCTGTCTGGCTCGTTAGTTTGGCGAGCGTTCACCTGGGGAATGGGTTTGTCTTTGTTGCGTGGTCGCTGGCTGTAGTGCTGATGGTTTATTTGTGTGATGTGTGAATGTGGTCGGTGTTCAGTTGGCGGGTGTGATTATGTTTTGTTGTGTGAAATGTGATTGTGGCAGGTACTCAGTTGGCGCGTTTGATCGCGTGTGTTTCTGACTTGTATGGTGAGTGGCTGCTTGTTGGCAGGTATGTTCATCATGTATTGTGTGGTGCTTGATTGTGGCCAATTGGAACGTTTGAGTATCCTTTGGTTCGTGGTGTGTGGTTCTAGCAGGCGATGAAGCGTGTGCGTGTTTTGTTGGTGTGTGAGGCATGAGTGTGGTTATGATGGGTCTTTAGCCGCTTGGTTTGCTTCTCATTTGCTACGCAATGCAAGTATGGTCGGGTTTTTTTGGGCGTGTGTTTGTGTGCGCATCTGATTTGTTGTGTTGTTTGGCTGCGGCAGGTACTGTAGGCAGGTGTGGTTCTCTGTTTTGCCCAGTCACTTCGGTGAGTAACATGTCTACATACATTTACGCTGGCTGCCTCCAAATATAAACTTGCTATGCAAATAACTGAATGTTGTTGTGAGAAGCGGCATTAAACAGCTATGGCTGCTGTAGAAGTTGTAGGTTTTGGGACTGAAACATTTAAGGGATATGCGCTGACACAACTCACTCTAGTTGCGGCGCCGTCTTTCCAAACTCCACGGAACAATGCTCTGTGTGCGTGCGTCTTAGTTTTGAAGCAGAAGAGGGCTAAGTTTATGCTATGCGCCATTTGGATTTCCGAATGTAATGGACCCCGCTAATGTGATTTTAGCAATAGTGCGCAATCGGAACAAAGACTGGACAGCGACCGCTGACTGCTGTTCCCTTCCCTGATGCATAGTGGCTTCAAGCCGACTATTCTTTCTGGTTGCCCGACAACGCGAATTTCTAGCATTCAAATGGTCTGAAGTTTGCCACTGGCAAAATCCCCTGGAACACGGGGAAAAGGCGAAGCGGAAAAGGAAAGAAGCAGGAACCCCGACTCACTCAAGCACAACCCGGATTAAAACAATCTCAGATCTCAACCTGTCCCACGCGAGCCCAAACTCAAATTGAACACATCCTAAGCCAATCTTGAACTCAATGTCGTCCAAAACCAAAAAGGGTTTCGGCGGCCCTTCAATCAGCCCTAAATTCGCCCAGCACCTACCGTAAATCAACCCTCAGCAACGCTACGCCCACCCGCGCGCAAGCTCAGGCGGCAGCATATCAACTCTCAAAAAGGAACCAATTTGCCCCCCTACGCTGGTTACCTAAAAAACAGGTAACCGGCCCTAGTTCCGCCAAATCTGTCGCTGAAGCCCAGTTACCCACTATACAAGTAACTGGGAAGCCCTGGGAAGTGTAGCATGTTCTCGCGAAATTGACACCTATGATGTTCGAAGAAATGCATACATACAGACATACACGGACTACACAGATTACCTAAAATGTCGTATTTTGCAGCATTTTCTCGCGAAATTGGACGCTCGAAAAAGTGATAATTCAAACAGGGGTGCAATTCAATCTCTGCCGGGCCAGTAAAGTGTAGCATGTTCTCGCGAAATTGACACATTTTACACTAGCCCGTCAACATCCCCCGCATGTCCCACCAACATCCCTAGCATCACCCACAAATCGTGTGACGGGGTCAAAGAAATGATGATTCAAGTAGGAGGGCATGTCAATCCCTGTAAAAAAATATAAAAAGTAGCGGGGGGGTTGGGGGGGGCGGCAGCCCCCCCCACGATGTTGTTTGCAGAAGTGATGATTTGAATAGGGGTGCAATTAAATCTCTGCAAAAAGTCTAAAAAGTAGCGGGGGGGTTGGGGGGGGCGGCAGCCCCCCCCATGATGGTTTGATGATTCAACTAGGGGTGCAACCCCCCCATGATGTTCGAAGAATTGATGATTCAACTAGGGGTGCAACTAATTAAATCTCTGCAGAAAATCTAAAACGTAGCGGGGGGGTTGGGGGGGGCGGCAGCCCCCCCCATGATGTCGGAAAAACGCCACCTGCCGAAGAGGAACAGGGAATGCAGAGGATGCGAAAAGCCAAAAAGCCACCAAAAGCCGCATAAACGAGCAAAAAGCCTAGAAGCCCAGAAGCCCAGAAGCCGAGAAGCCAAGAAGCCGAAAAGCCGAAAAGCCAAGAAGCCAAGAAGCCAAGAAGCCAAGAAGCCCAGAAGCCGAGAAGCCGAGAAGCCAAGAAGCCGAGAAGCCAAGAAGCCAGGAAGCCGAAAAGCCAAGAAGCCAAGAAGCCGAAAAGCCAAGAAGCCAAGAAGCCGAGAAGCCGAGAAGCCAAGAAGCCAAGAAGCCAAGAAGCCGAGAAGCCAAGAAGCCAAGAAGCCAAGAAGCCAAGAAGCCAGAAGCGAAAAAAAAAACCAAAAAACAAATCCTAAAATAAATACCCCTCCATACCAATTTAAAGGGTAGTTGCCAAGGTTTGCCAAAAGACAAACCTCTTGCTTCTTTTGGGGGGCACCTGCGAGAAAAAAATCCTCTCTGAGTCCAGACGTCCCTTTTTCCAGCCCAAGCTTTAAAAGAAAGAACAACGCACAAACAGAATCCCATGTGAGACTACCAAGGCGATTGCCAATTATGCCGATTGCGACTCCTTTCACAGTCTCAAAGGTTGCCATTCCAAAAAAAACGGGGCTGGCAGGCTGGTAAAGAGCACCTACCCCCCGTCAAGGCTGCCCCCCCCCACAGCATCCCCTCTGATTAATCCTGGCCCTCTGTAGCCCTGGAAAATATGAAGCGCAACTTCCTCTCACTTTCCTATTGCAGTCCCAGCCGGAGAGGGGTCCAGGAGCTGAGAGGCCGAGGCCAGGTCCAGACTCATCCGGGGCCGGGGGGGGGGGTTTCCCAAGTCTTGTCGACCTTGAGGGGGTTGGGGGTATTCCTTCAACCTCCCAAACCTCAAGAATCGCAGCCAGTTCCTTTTCACTGCCATTTGGTTAAGACCCCTGAAAAATAGTAAAATAGAAAAACCATCCAGTAGTCATAGATTCCCTTTAAAACCAATAGGGGAAAATAACAAATATTCATAAGCAAATGGAAGCTCATGAGCCGGCTGTTTACCAGGGGGGCGAAGAATATCCAACAGATCCATTCAAGGAGAGACACGTTTTGCGAAACGAGTTTTGCGAGCGTTCCATGGAGTGAGTATTTCGACCCAGCGAAGATATGAAACAAATGACACGTACACCAAAGCCAAGCTCCTGACCAAACCTCTTTTTCCAAGAGGAACACTGCCGCTGCAGCTCACTCTGCCGGGATTGGGTGGAGAGGTTGGGGCCTTTGGCTGCCACGGCGCATGTGTCGCAGGCTTTGGCCAACAGAACTCTTCTTGGGAGCTCCGTCGCTGCACGCCACCAGCCTCAGCCGACTTCGGCTTTCTGCATGGGTCCATGGATCCCAAGGGCCAAGTACCATACAACGAACGAAGGAATCATGGAGCTCAATCACTTGTGCCAAGTACCTTAACTCAAGCTCACAAACGAAGGAATCTAGATGAATCTAGGTCCATGTGCACTAACTCCACGAACTTGCAATTCAAAACATCCGAAGAAGGGACTTGTTACTGGAAAGCGTCTTTGCCCGAGTAAAAGCCTAGCCTCCCAGAGATTCCCAGATAACCTAGCCCTTTGAACATTACTTGCAACTACTCGAGCGACGGAACTGGGCTGCTGCTTCCGTAGCGAAACGGTTGACTTGAGAAGTGTTGACCCGCCTCGTGTGCGTGCGCGCGTGCGTGGGCGCCCGCGTCGATCCCATGTTGCAGGACTGGCGTCACTGTTTTGCCCATGACCAAAGTCACCCCCGAAGTGGTGGGTTAAAGGGAAGCAACCGATTCCATTTTCTGACTTTGATAACCCCCCAGAAACCGTCAACATACTGACCCCAGCCGGACCACGCACGGTTCGAGCAACTTGATGCACGTCTTCCACCTGCAAATCAGAAACTAACCCACCGATGGGTCTGAGAATGACATGGGTGCTGGTTGATATGCACTGGACCGCTCAATGCGGTCAGGTCGCGCATAGTAGCCTCACTTGCCCAAATGGAAGCAACAGCCTAACCTTCCGGGTGCATCACGCAAAATGGTCGCAAAACCTGGTCCAAACCAACTGCTCTTACACAGTCTCAAGTCGGCCTGCAGCTGAGCCACCAGTCACTAAGAAGTCCAACGCCATGAAGAAGGCGATGGAGGTATTGGTGATTTCCAGCTCGAGATTCGGCAGCCACGACAGCGGCAGGAAGTAAAGAACCAACACAGAAACCAGGTGGCTGGCGCACATACTGCAGAACAACATGATGAACATCCTCGGCACTGGAAATCAAGCCCCCAAACCCTAAGAACCGTGCGCATTTTGTCGTTCGTGCGGGATAAGCCAATAAGGCACTACCCTCGACCAAGTGTTCAATCGTAACCAACCATGCCAGGCATGACACATGCCAATAGGCACCAATGCTTGGCCCCAGAAATAGCGGGGCTGCAAGAAATAACATCTTGCCAACCCAGTCAAATTGAGGCCCAACAAAGTCAGATGAGCAGTGTTTTTTTTGGTGGTTCGAGGCCTATACACTACTTGCATGCCTACGCGAAGGCCTACGCAAACCTACGCGGCCTGCGAGGGGTGCCTACGCGAGCACAAGTCAGCTTCCAGGTGCCTACGCGAATGCCTACGCGGGCAAATGTTGAGTTCGAGTGTCGAAGTGCAGTGGCAGCTCCAGCTGGAAAATCGCAACTTTTCAGTTTTGGCAGCTCCGGCTCTAAGATCAGAATTGCAGTACAAGTGATAAGCCCGCATCTGTCCAAGGATCTGGCTGCCAGAAAAGGTCTACGTACCCAAAATGCCTTGAAAGCCTACGCGAATGCCTACGCGGGGCCTACGCGGAGCCTACGCGAAGACTCCAGAACAAACAGAAGGAAGGCAAAAGAAGCAAATTCATTTATACTTGGCAAACAGCACTGAGTCATGATTTGTTCAACAAACGCCTACGCGAAAAGCCTACGCGAGGGGTGACACAACAGCCTACGCTGAAGCCTACGCGAGCCTACGCCCCTAACCAGGATTGCCTCCGCCAAGTACATGCAGTTCCCTTTTTGTATAAACCCTTTCATTTGATTAAAAAACGCTGCTCAAATGTAGCCATGGGTCCCAAGCCCGAACGAACATCCCAATCCCCACTAAATTAGACTAACATGGGTGGTGGTGCACCTACCAAAATGGGATCCCATTCGTTTTGACAACCACAGCCATGTTAGCATCCAGTTGCACAGGACGGGATGCATGAAGGACACTGCGAGCGAGTAGGGCGCCGCAAAGAACTGCAGGGAGCCGGCCAGCCAGAAGAGGCGGATGTTGGTGGTCGCAGCCGTCACGGCAATCCACAACACCTAGGCTGCAGCGAAAGTGCTGCGGTAGACACAGGGATCCTTACATTCTACACCTGAACATTGCCTTGTACATGGTGGTTCCCTTTATTTTGGTGGAAAAGCCATGTTTCAAATGGGCAAAATGTATCTTTTCAGGAGCCCTGGTAAACAGGGGATGGTACCGTCTTAACAAGCATGCGTGCGCTCCCCGGTCATGCATACATAAGAGGGGCAGTAATTATCGTTCTAGGCATGTGCTTCTGTGGTGATTTTGGGCATGCGTGTGTTCCCTGGTCGGATGGGTGGAATTCGGCTGCAGTTTGAATTTCGGCTGAGCTCGAGACTTGATGCTGCCCACATCAACCAGCACAGCCTGCCCTTCCAAGCCCGAAAATAGAAACTGCAAACATGCACTTTCGCAATGCTCTCGCAGCAGGTTCTTCAACAACCACATTCGCCGCAAGCTTTCGCGAGCTTTCGCTCCCTGCGCTTTAGCTAGCTAACCCTTTTCAAGAGGGTCTTCTGCCGCTGCTCGTATGTCCCCAATGTTTATTTAAGTTACTCAAGGAAACTAATGTTGACCCAATATTAATCAACCACAGTTTATTCATAGGGGGGTGTCCCCCTCCAAAAGTGATGATTCCCCACTAAACCCTGACACCCCCCCAGTAATAGACAGGGATTGATTAATATGGGGTCAACATTACAAGGACCCCCCTGGCTGGCAGGGCGCGCGCTGCAGCACAAGCAAGGTGTGCGTGGAGATCCCTTTGCACTCTGCCGGGCTTCTCTCGCGGATTAGGTTCCCCAAGTCTTGGATCTTCCGCTCGTACTCCTGAATCACCGAAGTGCCCGCCCCAGCCTCCCACCATTGAAACAAAAACGGCAGGCTTTGGGAGGGCAAATGCAAGACCATATTGCTGGGCCAAACGTTTAGCTTTTATAGTGGGTTAAATTTTATTACATGGACATCCCCGCAAAACACTAAAAAGCTAAAAAGCTAAGGGGATGGATGGGAGCCACCAAGATTTCTCAGGGGATCTTCTGCCAAGTTTCAAGTCAGTTGGGGCGAGGGTTGCTTGAACGACAATGAACGACAAGCGAACAGCGAAACAAAAAATGGCCGTGCGTCAATGGACCAGCTTTGGACTGGGAGGGAACGCGTGGCTGTCCGTGTCAAAACGTCCACCTTCTTGAATCAGCCGCGCGGCCGGGGCAGCCAAAGGCCGGCTAAGAACAAAGCAGAGCTCTCCCCGAAAGGACCTGGATGAAACCCAAGGGATGCGCCCAAAGGACTGGTCAGATTGACGAACACGAGCGAGGGCGCCATTGATCACTGTTGACCCAGGATCTAAGTAGACCCGTCCCACTATTAGGGGGGTGAAAACCCCTCCAAAAGTGATGAATCCCCGCTAAAAGGGGACACCCCCCCTATTAATCAACCAGGGGTTTGTTAATCCGGGGTTAACATTAACTTGAGAGCATCGACCCTTACTGACACAGGCAAACCTGTTAGCACAAGTACTTGCCGTGTCAAACAGCCACCGGGACGTGTGCTGTGTTCCCAAATCCAATTGATTTGCCTCACTATGGCCAGTCCCTCATCTCCATGAGTGCTCGGCCAAAACCATCGCAAACGTGAAGGCTTGTCTGCCATTGCACTCAGTCCATGTCAATGCATGTTCAAAAGCAACAAATCGCATGCCCTCCTGCCTTGGTTGACGTTGGAAGGGGAGCAAATCTAAATGTTAGCAGTTGAGTGGGGATTTCCCACTAAACCACAATAAGCCAAAATGTAACATATTTCCCAACAACAACCATGCTGCGGCGCTTTACATCTCAAACATCTCCTAGTGCCAAGGTGGCCCACCCCTCCTTTCTCAGCTCCGGGGAGACCGTGATGACGGCATCCTCACCTAGGTGGGCTCCAAGCCATACAGTTTGACGCATCCGAACTGACTAGGCACTTGCTGAACCAAATCTTCACCTATTCATCTGGTCTCTTCCAGCTGCCCTGAAGGCGGCAGGCGGCATTGAGTTTGCCTGGCCCTGCCATCTGGCATGCAGGCTGCTTACTAGCCGACACTCTTCTCCAATTGGGCCATCCACATGCTGCAGATCAGCTTCCCCCCAGTTGGCGCTTTGGATAAGTTGCTCGGTGGTGAAGGGGTGGCTTCCCATTCACCCTCTACGAGAAGGGGTTCAAATCCAAATCCAAACCACCCAAAAACCAATGAGGGGAGGGGCTGCAACAACAAAAAGGAGAACCACCCTCTAAGTATCACATAAGTTCAATCCTTTTTTTGAGGGTCCCCGACTTTGGCACACATGTGCACAACTGGGCCTTCCGTTTTTCCAGAGGCCGAACGGCCTCTTAAACCCGCTTCTCCGCCTCGGATCCGAGGCGCTGGAGGTCCAAAGCTCATGGGGCAACTTCCGCAAGGTGCAGAGCCCCGAGACGAAGCAGCGCAGCAGCGCCACGTTGATCTCCAAGGCCAGGGCCTCAACGTGCAGGGCCCTTCCTCTGGGCCTTCCTCTGGGTGGTTCCCAGTGAGCTCTCTTTCCCTTTGGGGCGTTTCTGCCCGAGTTGTAAAAAGCAGGATTCTTCGTGGAGTTGGTGCTCCAGGTTGTCTTCAATCAACCCTTTTCTTCTTTCCGTTGGAGGAGTGTTTTTTATAAGGATCCCTGAAAAGGTAACGGTATCAAAATGGTTGACCCAGAACCATGTAAGGAAATACAAAAAGACGGAATTCCGACCCTTCCTAACCTGCATTTACTCTTTTCCGGTGTATCTTCAAGCACACACGCACTTTTTGCCCTCGTTGGCGTGCTTTGGCAAGGATCCCTGGAAAGAATGGGTTCTCCAATATACCCTTTCTGCAAGTTCCTCACTGACAACAAAACGAGGGTAACTATGTCTGGCACAGGGCAAGAACAGGTTGTCTGGCGCTGCGGCCGCCCGAACATGACTCACAGAGCGGATGTTCTGAGAGGCAAAACCTCCCGCAGTGAGACTGAACATTTCAAGACGCCTTTGACACAGCTAAAGCATTCCCGCAAATAAATATAGACCCCCCCCTCACCAGGGGCTTACCAGTACCTGGCACCAGCCTGCCACAATGAAAATCGAGTCCGCGGAGGAGCCCCAATCACTCGGAATGCGCCCCCTGAAACGTCCAGCACGCAGGCTGACGGCTGAAGCCCTGCACAACATCCGCCCCGCTTCCATGCTGCATCCTGGTGGCAGTCATGGTGGCACCGGGACTGAAAGCTATGTCTCGAGCCGGCACGTTTGCGTGAAACTGCCCGTCAGGGATTGCAGCACGTGCCCTCACCTCCAATGCACCTTCTTTTGCAACACAGACAAGAAGGAAGAAAACAAAAGGTAAAGCACGCATGCGAAACAGGATGTCAGTCGTGAATTCCTCCCCTGCCAACTTCGCTACATCTTGAGGAGAGGCTCCGGACCACAAAGCTAATGCTAGTGTAGGGAGCCACCTATCTGATGAATGTTCTTGACAAGGTGGGGCACACACACACACATGCATGCAAAACCCGCCCAACACGCGTTTTTTTTTTTTTACATGGCTCTCGGGCAACCAATGGGCCAAGGGCCATGAATCAATCCACCTGCGAATCAAATCTCACTGGCGAGGCCAAGCCCTTCGCCCGCCGACGCCTCCTTCTGGGCAAACCAGCTGGAAGCATTGCTAAATGAGAAAATGACCTCCACCAACCTGGCAAGCGCCAGGTTCCGCGCTGTGGTCGCCACACACATTGCGGCCTAAAAAATGGTCCACGCAAAGCCTAGGATCCTGCGATAGCCAGGCCCGTTGCACGCAACCTCACAAAAAGCAATGTGTCATTGAATCAAGACGGACTCAGGGTCCCTCCCATGGCCTGGTGAGTTTGCAATCACGTCATAGACCAAAAGAACCTGATTTCTTGGTTGCTGTTGACCCCCCTGCAAAAAGTTTAACTTTGTGCGGGTTTAATGGAAAGTCCCTTGATTTCCCGAAAAGTTAAAGTCTAAAGATCCAACCCAAAGGCAGTTAAGAAAAGCATCCTTATGTACTCAGCGTCCACCCCTGCCTCTGGAAAAAAAGAAGAAACAAAACAGCAACGTCAACAGCCCGCCTGGAATCTCCCAAGGCTTTGGCTGCTAGGCGGCGATCTGTGCCTAGCGACACAAGGCATCAAGCACGACACGACCCACCCTATTGATGAATACACTAGGCTCGAATTAGGACACCAGCAAGTGTTGCTTTTTCTTTTTTGCCTGGTTAGTGGAAAACAAAGGGAACCCCAAAAAAGCAAAAAAGAAATGGGAACTAATCGGGGGAAGTACACAGACCGCTCTTGCGAGCAACAACGCATCCTGAGGCTCCCTTTTCCAATGGCCAACCGCCGCAAGGAGTACAGCTCCCCGGCGAAAAATGTACCAAAGGGCTGCCGAAAACGGTCCTTACTGAGGCCCCCGGCTGGGAGTGAGGCTGCCAATCTCAGGAAGCGGGGACAGGCACGACATGAAACTGGGGCCCGGGTGACGCCTTGGGGTTGGGGCTTGGTTGTAGGAACTGACCGGTTGGGACCTGGGAGGGTGGGGGCCCTAGATCTTGACACATCCGCTGGTTCCAGAAACTTTAACAAAAAGCCCATGCGCTTCCAAACGGATCTTGCTTTTCTGGCTTGGGGACTTGTATAAAGATGTATGCAGAGACCTTTCATATTCAAAGAGTTTGAAGAGACCATCGCCCTGCAATGCTTCGCAGCTCCAATGCGGGCACATGTTGTTTCGAAGCTTCAAGAGGCTTAATCGCGGCGGATATTCGGATGACTTCTTCCATCGACCTGCATGTGAGTCTAAAAGCCCTGCACTAGGCAGCACAAAACATGTGCAGCTTGACACGGGTGTCTCTCAAAAACCAAAGGGGTCCACCAAGACGTGGCAGTAGCCCTATTTTGGAGTTGCCATGGCGTGGGGCCTTTGTGGCCGCTTCCCAAGCTGAAGCCCAAACCTTGCGCCCAATTTTGTAGCCAACCGCCCATATCGCTCAAAGCACGCCAGAATCAACGCATGCCCCGCATTGAACTCGGCCACTCGCAAGTCCAAGGGCCCCCGATAGCTACGCCAAGAGGCAAAGGTGCCACCGCAGGCCGCGCGCGCCAGCAGCACTTGCTGCACCGCACCCTGCGAGCCAACCAATGCCCAGCAAGCCGGCTTGATGTTCTGATTGGCACCCGCGTGGTGAAAATATACTGCTCAACAAGCGGCGGCTAGAGAAAAACAAAAAACAAAACGACGACCAACTAGCAAAGTCTGGTACTGGTCGTAGATGGGTTGCTTTCTCAGCACAGGCAAAACAAAGCTGACCGACCGCGGCATGGCATCCAGCACTTGCCGGAGCTCGCCGCTTGCGAGCATTACACACCCCGGCACCTGGGGAGCCTCTCCCTGAGCGGCTACAGCACACAGCCTTCACCCAACTCGCGGACCGGACGTAAGGCTGGGCATTTCATGGATGCGGTTCGAACATCGCCGCGCCTAGGGACGCTCGTCTGGCATGGGTATACACCCCTACAGACAGATATCCTTTTCCGTCAGCCTCCACCTGGAGAACAAAATAAGTTCAAAGTCGCCAAGTGTTGACTGGAGTGTTAGCCACTTCGACGCATCCAATATTTGCGGGCGGAGTCCATGAAGGAACCTGCCTGCAGAGGCAAGCAGATTGGGAGGAAACCCATGAACCCATCCTCAGCTGGAATCCAGAAATTTCAGGACTTTTGGATTCAACATCTCCCACCCCAACGAATTATTTGCACCCCCGAGCGGCGATGTGGATATCCAACTGAATTTCTGATGAGTCTAAGTCATAGGTGTCCTTTTGGGGCAAATGGATGGATATCCCTGGTAGATGAAATTCAACCAGGTAAACCAGTTGAATCGCCCTCTATTTGTCTTTACCAGGACCAAAACCACCAAAAAGGACACCTATGCTTCAATGATGGATGAGGATGGTTTTCGGGTCCCGCTGAAAAGAAGCAAGCAAGGTCAAACGGCCACCAAAGCACTTGAAATCCGTGATGAGCCCAAGTGCGAACACCAACACCGCCCCCGCCTCCAAGTGAATCTGCGCGATCACCTCTAGCTCCACAGTGCCTCAGGTCGGATGTGGCTCGGGCAAAAATTGGTCCGGAGGTGGGACGGAGCCCTGATTTAACTGGGCTTAACTTTTAGTGGGTCAAATGGGAACCCCCACTAAACACTAAAAGTCTAAAAGCTAAGGGGATGGCTGTGGTTGTCAAAACCGTTTTGGGATCCCATTTTGGTTGGTAGGTGAATTCACCACCCATTTTAGAACCTATTTTAGTGTTTGGATTGGGATGTTCACTGGGGTTACGATTTGGATTTTGATCCATGGCCACCTGCTGGGAGCCACATCCGTTTTATGCAGCCTCGGCTGGAAAAGGGATCGCGGGAAAAAGCCACGGCGCGCCGGCCAATCATGGGCCACAGCTGCACATTCCAACGAAGCCATTGAACCAAACGCATGTTCAGCCCGATCTTCAGTCCCTGTTGTGGGACATGTGGCAAGGCCGAAGTTTAGAAGCAACCTGCCGGATGGATACTAGGTCCTCCAGTAATTAGAGAGGTTAGAATAAGGGTACCCTTTTTTCTGTAGTCCATTTTCGTAGCGGAACCCTCCCCCAAAAAAGGGTAAACGGGCACCACTGGAGGACCCAGGATATAGTCCGATAAAGTTAATGGCCACCCCCCTTCACAAGCCCTGCTCGCCGGTTTGGGCGTGGAACAAGCTGTGCTTACACGCGCACGCGCGGGTGAGTCCGAGCTGCGCTCGTCCAGGACCACGGCGCACCACCGCAGCAGCCCGAAGCCCGGGCCCAGGGCGAGCTTGTGCACCTCACGCGTTTTTTTTTTGTTTGGGGGGGGGGGCAGCGACCGAAGACGACCGGCCAAACGAAAGAAACAAACTTTGGCTGGGCCCTTTTGCATATGCAGGTAAATGGAGAAGAACAAATCGCATCATCCATCAGATAAACGGAGAAAAATGGCATCATCCATCCGCGTGTGGCTTGCTTCAAGCAGCCGAATGGGGCGTACCGGAGCGTCCCGATCTCTCCACTCGCCTGCCTTCCGCTCGCCCGCAGGCAGGGACACCCTCAGGCGCTGAGCCATCCATGCGAGGGCTCTGGAAATCGAACCGGGCGTTACTGTACTCAGTTGCCCAGTTCGGACCTGGAACTAAAAGGTGATCACCTTTTGGGGCCATGACTAAATATGGGAACCCAAACTGGGAAAACCAAAAGGTCAAAAGGTCGGCTTTGACCAACTGAGTGGAAGTAGGACTTTAAACATGATTTTTTCAGGGGGAAATGAAACTGGATGTTAAGCGGGATTAGGGGAAATCACTCAACTCCAACCAATTGTCCATACCCTACGCCTTCGGCTCCGGCCTGCTATGTGCTTCCCCACTTGAGCCGCCAGTGCGAGCCGCCCGCGCGAGTTCTCAAGGAAAACGTGTCAGGCACATAGGTGGCCATTTGGAAAAATTAATGTCCCTGGTAAAACCCCATCTAAACAAACCAACCAAAAAGGACACCTATGGTCAGGCACTGCAGGATTGAAAGTCAAACAACCCCAAACACGCCGTGAATAAACGCGGCGACACCCCAGCATGGCACGAGGTGCTCTTTGAATGCCGCACTGACCTCTAGAGCAAGGCAAATTTATAGTGCAAAGTTCGTAGCTGTCGGCCAAACAGCCAATCGCCAGCGTCAGAAATCATCAGAAGGTGCCCTGAAACAAACAAGATTCGCCAGGCAAAGGTGAAGTACAAGGGCAAAGTGAAGGATTGCAAAGGGAATCGAAGAGTTCTTTGCCCAAGGCTTGACATTACAGTGTTGACCTTAAGGAGCCGTGGCTAGACATGATCGAAACGGTCGGAAACCAAATGGTCATACATGGTCCAAAAGCCGGTCTGCTTCAAGTGCGGGGCTGGGCATCAAGGTTCATACAAGCTTCACTGCAATTGAACATTCATTAAGGTAAGGTTTACCGCGGCTTGCAGATCATCAGAAAACCACCACGGGGGTTGGTTTTCACTTCCAAACACGGGCAAAACATAAACATCAAGAAAGTAGCTAATGACATTTACCCACCCGCAACGCAAATGGCAAAGGCAACACTGCAACACACACTGAAACAAGCATAAATGGCCATGTGAGCAGCGCTGTCAACTTCCGAAAGAGATGCGCCGAGATCCCCGCCATCGCTGGACCTGCGGGAAACAGCCGTCCCCGGGCGAGGGCAATCAGAGGTTCTGACGCGACAGACCCGAGCCGGAAACTGCAAGATTCCTGATCACCAGCGGATTTCTTCCAACCACCCCGTCCAAGCCGTGGTGCTGGGGGACGAGGAAGCTGGAGGTGTCGAAGATAAAGGTATGCAAATGCTGCCTGTTCAAAATGCCTCCCGGGCGCAAATGACTGCTACCAGGGACTGTCCCCAAAACAATGCCGGGCAAAACCGTTTTTTTAATGCATCATTCAGGCTGTTCCATGTTAAGTAAATGTCTTTGTGCAATGAGTTGGTTGACACCTTGGGCCGGATGCACTTCCCAGCATGTTCTTGCCAGTGTGCTTGTACTTGTGTTTTGGTGACCAAATGTTCATAAGTAGGTTGCGGTGGACCTCGGTGTTCGGCTAAAGTCATGGATTGCCACGAGTCCTGGGAGGAGTTCCTCAGCCAAGCAACCGACCGCTTTGTGGTGGCACCCAAAGGCAGGAACTGAATTTAGGCTCCACAAAGGGAAAGTCTGCTTCCAAAACCATCATTTCAGCTTCCGTTGTTGGAGGGGTGGAAGTTCCACAATGGCAGCTTCTTTTGACTGCCATGCTTCAACAACCTGGTCCACGTTCCGAAAAAGACATTGAAGGAGTGGTGCCAGCCTCGGAATCTGCAGGGCACTATGGATTTTCTTGCTGGAGTGAAATCCTTTCAGGGCGCTTCGGACTGGCAGCGGCCAATCCGGGATCAACTTGGAACCTCCGTTGCCCAAAAAGGACCTGAAGCTTCACCTGTTGGGGCCACTTCGACTGGCGAGCAGATTGTCGCTGCTCGCGGAGCAGGTCCATTCCGGAGACTGCCCCACACTGCCCCATGACTAAATATGGCCCCCCTGCAAAAAGTGAATCACTTTTTGAGGGGTTAGTTTTGAAAACCCAACTTGATTTCAACCAAAAAGTTAGAAAGTCTAAAGATCCGTTGCCCAATAGCAGTCAAGGATTCCTAGTGACATCTGTGATTGCGCCTCAAGGCGAGCTTTTGGTTCCGAGCCACTGAATCTTCGATCCATCCCCCAGGCGGGAGAAAAAAAAGTATGGCCCAAAACGGAAAAATTCCAAAAGGTGAAAAGTGAGAAGCTCGGCTTTGAACACCTGAACGCGGAGCTGCCATGCAAAGCGGGAAAAGGCCTCGGCTGCTTGGCCTGGGCAGCGCCGGCCTCGCGAGCCGTGGTTGCGCAAGTTGCATTTCTGAGATGCGAAAGGCGCGGACAAACCGGTTCGACAAGCCAGCATATATATATATGGATCTATCTATCATTTATATATATATATACATATACATATTTTTAAAAAAATGGTCTGCTACACAAAGCCAAACGGCAGAAACAATATGTTGCACAAGGTTCTTGTCTGCGGCCTCCTATTTCCTCCCTGGGCTGTGGCTTGTATCTCTGCCCTCACCCGAGCCTGTGCTGGCACCGGCTTGCTCCTCAGGCTGGGCCCGTCTGGCAAGGCGTTGCCTCGAGCGCTCAAAACGGGCTTCACTGGCTTTCAGGGTCCAAACATTCAGAGGTGGCACGCCGGCTGCAATCTACGAGTCAGTGGCGTCAGACCGCAGGAAACACCGTTCTGCAGCTCTCGTTCTGCAGCTCTCATTCAGCCAAACCCCAGGGCCAAAGCGTCCAAAACCCCGGGCCAGGTCAAAAAAATATTCTGCGGCCTTACTTGTAAAAATCTCTCAGGCTGCGCTGGGACGACACGTTCAACACGTCTCAGGCCTGCAGGGAAGGCTGTGACCACCAAAGACTCTCCCGCAGGAAAAGTGCCTGGGACATTGGGCGGATGGCTCCGGCCCGCAACCCTCCGCTGGCACTGCAGAACTGGGACGTGGATTGGTCCAATCCAACCGGCACTCGGAGATCATAGGAGTAGGGCACCGAGCCTCTGAACCTGTTTGGCATGCACCTCTTGATCGGTCAAGTGTCCCTAGCTCCTCCAGTAAAAAGGCTAAAATAAGGGTAGCGCTTCTTTTTTCCTGTAGTCTATCTTAGTAGGTGAACCCTCCCCCAAAAAAGGGTGAAAGGGCACTAGTGGGGGACCTAGGTCACAAGAGGGGAAGAGCTGCGGCCATCCCCAAAGAAACTCAGAAATCGCTCACCCAAGGGCCCACTCGAAAGCAAGGCTGAGCGCCGGAGTTAAACAAAATACAGCAGCCTGTCGGATGTCCCACCTGCTCTGCCCCGGAAATTTACCTACGAGGAAACGCCAGGCGCTTCACCAAGGATTTGCTCAAGATCATTGCTGGCAGCTTGAGTTGGGACGCGCACGCAGGGCTGCAGAAAGGGCCCCTCTGCGTCGCTCGGGGTCGGCAACCGCACGTCCCAAAGTTTAGGCGAACCTCGCCTTTTCGGAGAAGGGCAAAGGGGGGGACCTTCTCAAAGCCCTGAAGCCAATCTGTTTCGCACTTTGCCAATCAGCCCAGCCCTTTCGACCTTTCGACCTTTCGACCTTTCGGCCGCCACAGGCCCCTGGCTTGGCAGATTTCCCTTGGGAGATGCCTGGGCAAACGCATGCGAACTGCTTGAAAGCAAAATGGCCATGGGTCGAAAGCCAAATCGTACCCCCCGTGAACATCCCAATCCCCACTAAAATAGGTTCTAAACTGGGTGGTGAATTCACCTAATTACCAAATTGGTACCATTGGTCTTGACCCACAGCCAAATTGTGCTGGGCAACGCAGGGCCCTTGCGTGTACTGCAAGTCGCTCAGGCGTTGTGGCTGGATTTCGCCTTTTCGCAGGCAGGCTCCCAACTTAGGTTGCTTCAACAGTAGGAGGCGTCTGTTTTCGCGCTGAACGGGGGTAAAAGATCAAGAATCTTCGGGCCCCCCATGTGTTCAGATTTGCAATGACTTACAGCCTGCAAATCTGTTCTCACAAATGCCTGAAGTTCGAGTAGACAAGCCGAATCTCCAGTGCAGTGGCCGAACTCGGGCAGGAGAAGCTTACCAACTAGGTCCTTTAGAGAGGATAGAATAAGGGCCTCCTATTTTCTGTAGTCTATTTTAGTAGGAGAACCCTCCCAACCAAAAAAGAAACGGTCAGAAAGGGCACCTAGCTGGGGGAGCTAGCCAAACAAACCCTTGCCCAAGCAAACCGGATATCCCTGGTAGATGAGTTGAATCGCCATCTCTATTTCTCTTTGCCAAATACAAGCCCGAAAAAAATGGACACCTATGGACACCTATGCTTGCAAAGCAGAAATTGCAGATGCTTCCGGCTAAGTTCAACGAGCCCCGATCCCGGTCAATCGCTCAATCGCTCAAGCAGCTCAATCAGCGGGACTAGGAGAAAGGAGGCACCAAGCCAGGCAAACCACAAGAACATCCACCAAAACCAACCACTGAAAAAGGAGCCTGTGTGCAGATCACGGCACAAAAGAGCGGCATTTCATAGATGTTCCCTGCACATGTTGCAAGGGGCACTCATTGCAAACAGCTGGGGGAAGTCGAATATGGGGAACCCCCAGTCAAATGTTCTGCTTGGGTGCATGTGAAGGAAGGCCAGCAAGTTTGGGGGCCAAACGCATGCAACACGTTGACATCACTCGTTTTGCTTTACCACGTCGCCTATTCTTCATTCTTCCTTTCGCAAGGAAAGGTGGCCGTTATGTGTCTTCATCTTTGCTCAAGCCTGGCCCCCAACAAGTCCTTCATTTCTGGCCGACCTTATACCGCAGGCAAAACCTGAAGCACCACTTCCCATCGCGAGGCTGAGCTTTCCGCCGGGGGCGTGGTGGTCAACGACCCGCCCTGAGCAAAGAATCGGGAACGACACTCCCGCCCAAGGATACTTGAACTATATTTTACCCCACGTTTACACCCGTTTGCAATAATTGCACAGGTTTCTTACCAGCAGATTCTGGATCTTTTCGAATATTTTCTGACAAAGCCTGTTTGGGTGGAGGGGCTGAGGATCTCTGATCGATTTGTCAGAGGCCAAGATGGAAACCCAGGAATCTGGATCCAACTTCGGCCAATGAAAACTGCGAGTCTTGAAGGTCAATAAGAACGTACTGAAAACCCCAAAAGGCAACGGGGTCAGTCAATTCCGGCTATGGTAGGAACACATCTGCTACCAGGGCAGCCGCCTGGCTCCATGGAGTGGTGTTGTTGCATACCAAAGCCATGTGGTCCTCGGCCTGATACGCCTGACAGCCATCCTCAGGGCATCCAAGGAAAGGACAGCTGGCCGTACCACAATCGGTGGGATAAAATTGGTAAGTGACAGTGATGTGTGTGTGTATGTGCTTGTGTGTTTGTCTTTCTGTCTCTCTCACTGGTTGACTTGTTGACTTGTTGACTTGTTGGTTGGTTGGTTGGTTGGTTGGTTGGTTGGTTGGTTGGTTGGTTGGTTGCTTGCTTGGTTGGTTGGTTGGTTGGTTGGTTTCTTGCTTGCTCGCTTGCTTGCTTGCTTGCTTGCTTGCTCGGTTTATTGGCTGCTTGGTGGTTGGTTGGTTGGTTGGTTGGTTGGATGGTTGGTTGGTTGCTTGCTTGCTTGCTTGGTTGGCTGGCTGGCTGGCTGGCTGGTTGGTTGGTTGGTTGGTTTGTTGGTTGGCTGGCTTGATTGCCAAATTGTTAGTTTAATGTTTGTTTGTGCTTTTGTGTTCGTGTGACCGTGTGTTCGTGTGTGTGTGATTGTTTGCTTGCTTGCTTGCTTGCTTGCTTGCTTGTTTGTGTGTTTGTTTGTTTGTTTGTTTGTTTGTTTGTTTGTTTGTTTGTTTGTTTGTTTGTTTGTTTGTTTGCTTGTTTGTTTGTTTGTTTGTTTGTTTGTTTGTGATATTGTTTGCTTGCTTGGTTGGTTGTTGTTTGTTTGTTTGTTTGTTTGTTTGTTTGTTTGTTGGTTGTTCTGCTTGCTTGTTCGCTCGTTCGTTGCTTCTTTGTGGCCTTTTGTTTCTTTGTGTGTTTGTCTGTTTGTCTGGTTTAGTTTGCTTGCTTGCTTGCTCGTTTGTTTTTGTGTTTGTGTGTTTGTGTAGTTTGCTTGCTTGTCCGTCTGCTTGTCTGTCTGTCTGTGTTTGTTTGCTTGTTTGCTTGTTTGCTTGTTTGCTTGTTTGCTTGCTTACTTGTTTGCTTGTTTGCTTGTTTGCTTGTTTGCTTGTTGTTGATTGTGTGGTTGCTTGTTTGTCTGTTCGTGTTTGTGTTGTTGTCTGTTTGTTTGTTTGCTTGCTTGCTTGTTTGTGTGCGTTTGTGTCTTGGTGTTTGCTTGTTTCTTTTGTGGTTGATTCTCTTACCCCTTAAAACTCCAAGCCCTGGGGAAGTTAATCCTTTACAAACATATAGCCCATGTTACCCCCAAAAAGTTGAAACGTTGTGTTTTTAAGAGGTAAGTTCTTGGTGAGTGGAAAGGGAAGCAAACCAAAGGGAAACGCGTTTTGGGATCCCGTTCGTTTACCACATGCCTAGGTTATTGTAGCCTGCTGGGCGAAGCAGGCCATGCCATCACAAGCAGCCGATGCAGCATCCTTTTGCCCTGTTGGCATATGTATGCAACTGTTCCATTCTAACCCGCAGCATTGCGAGGGTGTTCTTTGCCGTAGCCACGCGGTTCAGAAGAAGCAACCAACAAAACATGCGGCAAATTGATTTTCATGCCTTGCACAAGTTGAGATGAGGAGCGGGTGCCAGGGAAGTGGACTAGGTCCACTATGTTGTACTGGTTTCTCTAAATAGGGAACCCTGTTTGAACAAGGACACCCAAAGAATAAAGAAAAACAAACAACCTCCCGTCCCTGGTGTTGAGAAGCACCCACAAGTAGTTCACAAGCACACCGAGAACTTTGCAGCAATCCCATCTGCCATAGGGATGAGCAAAATATGAACGCGCAATGCAACATATTCCGGCCAGGCTAATCAGTCTTGAAGAAACCCCTGGAATCGGAATAGCCGAGGCTTCTTCCAAACTCCGAGCTGCTCGCATCGCGGGGCTGAAATGGGTCGAAGAGATTGCATGTCTTCGCCGAGGCCGCGAGAGGCATCGAAAGGGTCTTCAAACTGAAGGCTCTCTTGAAACATCACCTCCATTTGCTTTAAGTCCCCTGGAACAGAAATGTCCAGTAATAGGATCCCTGAAGACCAACAGGGGAATAAACGTACTCGCTTCAGCGAATGGAAGATCAGTGACCCGACAATGGTTGCCAGCCGCGAGAACCCATCACCTGGAAACAACGGGAGCCGAACTGGTGGAGGGTCGCCTATGTGCTCCCTTCTTCAGAGGTCCTCTGATTCAGGGCAACGCAATTCTCGCCTTACCTGTCAGTTCCCTCGGCTGGTGAAAAGGACTGGAACACACCGAAACACGGGCCTTTGCTCTGGTTCGTCGTCCGGAACCTCTGGGGTTTCCGGAAGTCCGGGTGTCAATCTGGCGTCCTTGGATGCTGCAACGAGCCCCCTGCAAAAAGTCTAACGTTTTGGGGGTTTAGTGGAAAACCCATTGATTTCCCAAACAGTTAGAAGTCTAAAGATCCAACCCAATAGCAGTCAAGTTCCTTAGTTCTGGAGCTGACTGAGGCTGCCCCTCTCGCTTTGCCCCGAGAGGCGGCAACGCACGGTTCTCGTGCAGTCCGCCCAAGGTTTCCTCTGCAACGCCCCTTGTGGCTTTTGCAGAAGCCGGCCAAATGCCCGGAACGCGGCGCGTTCCGGCGCTTGACCACCGTGCTATGTTGTGCCACGGACATAAGGTGCGGAACAACAGCCAAGGAGAACAACATTCAGGTACTCATATGGAACAGGCACTGGATCTTGCAAGGCTTGCAATCTGATGCAAAAACCTCAGCCAAGGCAATCGCCGCTGACTGGAAGCTGATTGCAACCCTATCAGTCACGCGGACCACAAGTCTCAGTCGCAAGCAGCGTGAATACCAGGGCTGTCAAGGTGCAAAAAACCAAACCCAACAAAAACACTGCTCACTTTCGGGAACCTAGGGGTACTCTCTCACCCTGACTTGGCCAGACCTAGGCCCTTTGCAAACCAACTTGTTGCTGGTAAGGGAACTGCACAACTTGAAGCCAAAAAAACAACAACCAAAAACACAAAACAATAACTCAAACCCAAAAGGGAAAAATGGTTTTGGCCGTCGCGACGGTATTGTGGACCGCTGGACTTCCGACTGGTTTCTTTCGAAGTCGCGGCGTGCTCTTCGGCAAGCCGCTGCAGAGATCGTTGCCGGGGTGGAGGCGAAGATTTCCGCTTGGCTGGGGCCCCAAGTTTTCAGGTATGGACTGCTCAACAAGCACCAAGGATTCAAATCCCCACTCCACCTCAAAGCACCAACCTGAAACATGGTCACGCGGAATTCGTGTGAGCGACTCTATAAACCTCCCATGAACCCCTACGTCGCATCAAGTTGCTTACGCGCGAGCTTGCGCTTTCCTTGCGCGACCCATGTTTTAGCTCACGCGGCAGACAGCGAGCATGTTCAGCTTGCGCATTGCTTACGCGTGGGCGTATGTGGGCGTATGGAGCGTTTCCCCTCAAGACTTGCTCACGGCTCCTTTTCTCATGCAGCCAACAGAACTGTTCAAGATGATGTACCCTGAGGAAGAAGATGACGAAGAACTACCCTCAGCGGCTTGGCGCTATTGTTCTTACTGCAAGTGGTTATGTGGCGAAGAAGAGCTTACGCAGGTGCTTACGCAGCATGTTTCCCCCACAAGTGCCTACGCCGGCTTATGCCGTGCAGGGTTTTGCTTACGCGGGGCCTTGTTATGACACAACTCTTGCTTGGGATGTAATGGGGGGTTGTAGAGCTGCTCATGTGAAAAACCGGCTTTCTGAATGCCATGGTTTGGGTTCAAGAGAGGGACACTGACGACCGTGGCTTACTAAGCGACGCCCAAAAGGAAATGGACACAGTGATAATGGACAACTGCGTGGGGGTATGTGCCCTCCAAAACCAACGAGTCCGGGTGGCAACCGGTCAGCAAGCAATACCTTCTGCAAGAAAAAAAGGGTGGGAGGGTCCCCGACTACCATTTTTCTGGTCTCCCCGATAAAAAGGGCAAATGGACCATTCATGAAATTCCAGGGGTCACCCCCCGCCCCCAATTCCATTTCTCCGCGAGTGGGGATGAACAGGTCAGTCGTTATGGGGGAGTTGTAAGAGAACGGCTCCCAGGTTCACCATCTCCGCTGTCGCCGGTCCCACCCCGGCGCGGTGTCACGAAATGGATTGAGAGCAAAGGTCAGCGAGAGCAAAGGTCAGCTGTTGACCGGTGCTTTCCAGCTTCTGGCCTTGAGTTTTCTTGGTCTGTTTTGCAGTCAATGGATGCAAAGTCCATGCCCCAAGTGCTCGGTGAGGTGAAGGAGTTTATCTGGCTGGTGCTGCTACGCCCGCTTACACCCCGTCGGTTGCTGTTCGGGACGTCAAATATGGGTCGATAAGGTCTCGCCGAAGAAAACCGGCACCAAGCTCGCCAACAGTGCACACAACCATAGCAAGCTCCCCACAGCTTTGCCACCGCCTTTTCTATGACTTGCCCAAGCAATTGGTGACTCTTTGCGGCTCTTTGCCATGAAAAGGCGAAGCCTGCCCCCAAAGCTTGAAGTGGCTGTTCAAAATGGAGGGTTGGCCAATCCTAATCCACAATCCCAGGGAAGCCACGACAAAAGGCGCGTTGCGTAACCGAAGGTAAGGATTAAGGATTACCTTTCAACAGGAAGTTGCGGTAACACGACCTTCTCAAGTGGGCTGCCTCTCGCCCCTTCCTCGAGCTCGCCATCCTTTCGGATCGAACGCTCAGCCGGACCGCTCCCA